CTGTAAAGAAAGTTCTTGCCATTTTATGCTTTGTAGAGAAAGTTCTTGCAATTTTTTGCACTACAAAGAAAGTTCTTGCCACTTTATGGTTTGTAAAGAAAGTTTTTGTCATTTGATCGCTTGTTAAGAAAGTTTTTGCCATGTTATGCTTTGTAAAGAAAGTTCTTGCAATTTTGAAACTTGTAAAGAAAGTTCTTGCCATTTTATGGAAAAATTATTCTATTGCTATTTTTGACAGTTAATTTAATTTTAATAACATATTTTATTGTATTCCCATATATAACGTCTCTCTGCCGCTCTCCTCATATACCACACTCTCTAAATTTCCCACCAAAAGCCAAAAAGCGTATTTGAATTGTGACACTGTGCGAGACAACATGTGATAATTAAAAATAGTGGTTTAAAATTTAAAAAACAACATTCCAAATTGGCATAATTGACAAAATTGAGTGTATTAAAGACCGAACTTGTCGGTAAACAAGCGTCTACCATGGTTTGGTATGTTTGCGATGCTGATTATGGTCATTGAACGAGCGGTGTTTGGTCGCTTTGCTTAAATTATTAGAAGAAATTTTGTTTACAGGGCAGTCAAAGTATGGTTTGGTGCAATAACTTTCTTTACAAAGCGTAAAATTGCAAGAACTTTCTTTACAAGCTATAAAATAGTAAGAACTTTCTTTACAAGCCATAAAATGACAAGAACTTTCTTTACAAATCATAAAACGGCAAGATCTTTCCTTACAAACCGAAGAATAGCAAGAACTTTCTTTACAAACCAAAGAATAGCAAGAACTTTCTTTACAAACCAAAGAATAGCAAGAACTTTCTTTACAAACTATAAAATTGCAAGAACTTTCTTTACAAACCAAAGAATAGCAAGAACTTTCTTTACAAACCGTGAAGTAGCAAGAACTTCCTATAAATTTCCTAAGATAACAATATCCACTTACTACAAGCTCAAAAAACAAGCTATTTTTATTTACCACGCCCAAAATAGCTACCGTCTTACCTAACCCATGACCTTCGAACCTAAGAAAAGGGCAATTTCATTGTTGACAGGATAAGAAAGTACACGAGTATTACTCTTCGACGTCACAACAGAAGACGGAAACATATCAACACAATAAGAATAAACAAAAACTTTTTTTACAAATCAAAATTTCTAAAATTTGAACGCAGAATCACAAAAACTTTCTTTACAAAGCGTAAAATGGCAAGAACTTTCCTTACAGATTGTGACATGGCAAGAACTTTCTTTACAAGCTATAAAATGGCAAGAAATTTCTATACAAAGCGTAAAATTGCAAGAACTTTTTTTACAAAGCGTAAAATGGCAAGAACTTTCTTTACAATCCCTAAAAGCCTACCAGTATCATCTCAAGGTACTCTACTTGACCTTATGTTTTGAGTACTATACTTCACTTTGTTGTTCTTTAAATTTCAAGGTTTAAGAGAAGGAAGTACACGATCTGTCATCGTGAAATGTTTTCACGTAAAACTTAGCGGTTGTCAACAAGGTTTTGTTGATTTATTACCTAAAGATCAGGTCTAGACGTGGATTACAAGGTGAATTATAGCACAATTAAGAGCTTTGTTTGTTCGAAATTAACATTCTTGGCATTTTTTGTGTTGTAAACAATGTTCTTGCATTTTTTTGCTGTGTAAAAAATTTCTTGCCGCTTTAAGCTTTGTAAAAAAGGTTTTTGACAATATTAAAGCATAAAATATGTTAATATAGGTTTTACGTTTTGACGTAAAAACAGTAATAATCACTGTTATTACTGTTGACGGTAACAAACAAACTTTTAAAACAAAAAACAGGAAGTGCATGTTATTATTTTATCGTTCCTCATAAAAAGTCCATGTCCTTCAAAAGGCTTTTTGTAAAATTTGTCTGCCCCTGCCCTGCTTTGTGTTATCCTGCCCTATCCTAAATTATCTTGCAATACCCTGCCCTAACCAGCTCTACCTTGCCATATGGTGTCCTACCTGACCTATCTTGCACTATTATACCCTATCATGCTGTACCTTGCCTTACTGTGCTCTGGTTTGCCCTACCCTGCTCTATCCTGCCATATTATGCACTATTTTGCTTTGTTCTGTTCTACTCTGCCCTATCCTGCCCTACCTTCTTCTATCTTGCTCTACCCTGCCTTATATTTTTTTATTCTTTCTTATTTTTTTTCTTATTCTGCTCTGCACTTCCTTATCTTGCATTACTATGCCTTATCTGGTTCAAATTTATCCTAAAATACCCAAAACAACCTTTAAAATGCCATTTTTTTAAAATTCAAAACAGTTGATAAAACCCCAAAGCTGGCTATATTATGCATTCAAACAATAAACAATATTTATGTCTGGTTTGCAGTAACGCCAGTGTTTTGGACCGGCCCGGAGCGTTTTTTTCCGGACCGGTCCGGAGCTTTTTCTTCGGTCCGGTCCGCAGGTTTTTGGGTCCGGTCCGGTCCGGTCCGCAAAAATTTCTGTTTCGGTCCGTCCGGTCCGGACCGGTCCGGCAAAACACTGAGTAACGCAATTGTAAATGTTAATGTCAATCTCCGGAATTTCGTATTGACGCTGTATAGTACTGATAATCTGGGTGATAAAATAACTGTTAATCCATCCTGGATATTGCAAAAATATTTTTTCTTTGTAAAGAAAGTTCTTGCACTTTTACAAATTAGTGCAAGAAATGGTGGATTTCAGAAGATTTGCGTCAAGATACCGTATTTTTAGATATTTCAAGGTTTTTTTAAATTTTGAAATTGTGTTTGAAATTTAAGTTTGAAAAATCATAACATTAGAGGGTGTAAAGAAAATTCTTGCAGTTCCAAGAATTGTAAAAAAAGTTCTTTCCATTTTATGTTTTGTAAAGAAAGTTACTGCCATTCTCAGTCTTGTAAAGAAAATTCTCACAATTTTCCCTTCCAAAACAATATTTTTCCATTTCAACAAAAGTTAATGATTTTCGATCTGTAAACAAAGTTTTTGCATGTCGAAAACAATGTTATTGTATGGAAATCCTCTTCCTGTATGGAATTCAGTCCAGCTGCACCCAGACGCTGTAATAATAATCGGCAAGGGCCGGCCCTTCGCTCTGCACTGTGCGAACCAAAAAAGGGGCGGAGCTTATGCGGAATAAATATAAAAACGGAAAAGGCCCGGAGGCATTGTTCGAGAAATGTTTTACAGACAAACGGTTGGCTAGTTGTGGAGTGGGTTTTTAGGTTGTTTTTTTAAGTTTAAAAACAAAAATTTAAATTTAAAAATTTTTCGAAATTTTTTAAAATTTTTAAAATTTTGAAAAAATTTTTTACTTTTTGTCCTTACGCTGTATTTTTACCAAAAAAAGCTTTAAAAGCACCAGTTAAAAATTTTTTATTTTTCCTGCCCACCCTCAAAAAAATTTTTACCCCTCCCACCCCAATCTCAAAAAACCGTATAAACCCCCTGTAAACAAAGTTCTTGAGCTCCAAAAAAAATTTTACAAACATCGGAGAGCAATATACATGTTGTGTTCCTACGTTAAACCCCCGGTATTACTACGTTAATGTGTTTATAAAAGTACATTTGACCCATATATCACTCAGCGTAATGTTTACTATTGCTTTAATATAACATGATGATATTTTACTCTTATTTATGGTTTTGTTTTGAATTTTTTAATGGTAATTGACTTGTTTTTGTATAAAGGAAAGGTAAAAGTTCAAAAATAAGGTAATATTTAGAATTGGAAAGAAAGTTCTTGCTACTCGATTGCTTGTAAAGAAAGTTTTTGCCATTTTAAACGTTTTAAAGAAAGTTCTTGCTATTATATGCACTGTAAAGAAAGTTTTGCCATTTTAAGCTTTGTAAAGAAAGTTCTTGCCATTTGAAATCTTGTAAAGAAAGTTTTTGTCATTTTATCTTTTGTAAAGAAAGTTTTTGCCATTTTATAATCCACCCCTTTTTAAACGCCTTATCACTAAAGTTCAAACTTTAACCCTTCCTCTCTCTACCCAATCTCCTCCCTTCCCCCACACTCTAGCCTACTCTAACCGCTCTCCTCTTTTCTTCCATTCTCCTACTTCCCCTCCTACTTCAAGCCCCGCCTTTTTTTTCGCTTTTCCAAACCCACACTTTTCAAAAAAACATTAGTCAAACATTATACTTGTACTCGAAAGCGGTCTGAACGTTTTGCGCTGATATTCCGTTATCAATCTTCTATTTTTGGAAGTTGATAATGGCTTTGGCGATATTTATTTTGGGTTATATTTAGGTTTTGTTACGTTTTGGGTTGGATTAGGTTTTAGTTTTTTTAGTCTGGGTTTGACTTGGATTCTAGCTTAGTTATTAAGTTTGATTTTGGTGCTATTATACCTCCCTCTTAGCTTCAAATTTTTTTTGAAAAATATGAACGTGTTCCCCCCTGTTAACTATTTTAAAAAAAAAATTTTTTTTACCACACCCAAATTTTTTATTCTAAAGGAGGTGAGCAATACCTTTCCTTTGCATTTTAGAAAGTTTTTTTTTATACTATACCCCCTCCTCCCTACACTCACTACAAATGTTTTTTTTTCAAAAAAAGTTGAGCTTGGTTTCCTTAGTTGATTTTTTTTTGAAAAAACACAGTTTTTTTTTCACTTGTACCCCTTTTTTCCACTGAAACTAAAATAACCATACCCGTCCCTATCATACCCTTCCCTACGCTTCTACTCACCTAGTTATACAGTAATTTCCATTCGAGTTAAATTTAGCGCGTTTATTTTTAGCTTTTTTTGAAATAACTTTTAAACTTTTTTCTTCAGAAAAACGTGATTCGACTGCTTTTGAATATTCGATTAGTTCTGGTTAATTAAACGCCATTACTACAGGAATTCTAAATATAAGACACCGATTACTGAAACAAGCATTCAAAAGCGTCAACAAACTTTGTGGCTACAATAACCTACTACAAGGTTTCAAAAGTATACTACCATAACCTTATTGTTTTATCCCTATCTCTACTACAATAATCCAAAATGACTTCTGGAAGAACCGACCGTCGTCAAGCTCGCCGTGAAGTCTTTGAAGTTTTCGGCATTAACACTACCGTTCATCATGGTGTAGATGAGATCACAGTGAAACTAGAGGACAAACTACATCAACTAGAACAGGCTCACAACGACAGCCATTGTCATATGGACATGGAGTGTGGCATGAATTGTCGGATTTGCGAGGTAAGAGGTGTTTTCAAGTCAAAAATTTTCAATTTTGAAAATTTTTGAAAAAAATCAACAGGGAAAACCAAGCTCAATTTTTTGGAAAAAACAATTTATGGGAGGGGGAGTGCTGAAAACAATTTAAAACCTTTAAAAAAAGGTCAGAAAAGGTTATTTTTCCTTACTTTAAAAATTTTTATAGGGCGGGGTAAATTTTTTTTGGAGGGGTGTTTTTTAAAAATTTATGTAAAGCTTTATTTTTAAGCTTATAGCACCTTTTATCATTACAACAAGTTTGACTTTTGGTCTTAATCTCTCAAAAAACGACCAATGCCCTCCAAACCTCTTATTCAAAGCCCTACAGTAAAAACCAAATTCCTTCGAAACGCTTTATTAAAATTGAATTTTTCGAAATTTTTTGGAGAATTAGTGAGACGTGCAAAAGCAATTTTTATGCCCGATTTTGTCGCGAGAAACCCGGTTTATGCCAGCCAGTACGAGGATTATAATTAAGCTTGTATAGGGCTTGAAAAAAGGGTTTATCGAGGGTAGGGGTCTTGAGAGAAGGTTTATATTGAGGACAATCAAAACATGTTTATTAGGCGGTGATAGGCCGTGCTAAGATGGGTACGGGGCTTCTTGAGGCTATAGTTTAGACTGAGTTTGGTGGTGAAGAAGAATGGGGAAGGGTATATTTCAAATTTTTTTTTAAAAAAAGTTGAACTTGGTCCCCCCTGTTCATACAAAAAATTTTTTTACTCAATTTTTAAAAAATTGACCAATATTAACCAGCACCTCTTTTCAGGCTCAATCCACGCTGATTTCCCAGATCCGTAGCTTGCTACAAGAATTATTACGATCTCAAGTATCAGCCACTGAATTGTCATCTCTACCTCCAAAACACTTGAACTTCTGCCGTTCTTTATTGACTCAACCTTCACCCAAAACTTCATCTACAGTCAAGCCGAGAAAGCTGTCGAAGCCTGACATTCAGACTCATGAGCTGCTTTACATTATGTAAAGAAGTTACAGTTGTTTGCTTTTCTTATATGGTAGAAAGTAGTACGTAGTGTAACATAGTACATAGTCTAAGTAGTACATAGTCTATGTAGTACACAATACTAACTAGTACCTAGCCTTAGTATTACGTAGTACAATGTTGTATTTAGTCTAAGTACTACATAGTACAATGTACTACATAGTTTATATAGTACATAGTATTTAGTGCTTCACTCATGGCACACTATAGCCTTATGTCACCATAAATTGTACTAACCCTCCTCTCACTTATAAGCAAAATATTATATTTTTACTTATTATGTACAGCCTCTTTGACTATATTAACCCACAAATCATGTTTTATATACTTACTACGTGCAGGCCTATTATATGTAAGTGTACATCTATTTAGGTACCTATGGTATATACATGTAAGTATTAGCCTAAGTCTAAGCATACTGTAAGCACATGTATATAAGTATGATTTAAAGGTTAATATAGTCAACCAACTCCACAAAATTGTATCATATGTTGTTATCACTTCCATACGAGTAGCTATGTAAATAATATTTTTAATTGAACTTAATGGTATCAAACTGTCAATAAACGTGTATAAATTATTATCATTTGGCAATTTATTGATGAAAAGAAGTTAAAACCTTAAAAATTAAAAATACAGTATCTTACAGTCAAAAAAAAAAACTCGGCTTAAAATACAGTAACTTCTACTCAAAACGTACCCAAAAATACAGTAACTTTTAATCAAAAATCGGCTTAAGAGACAGTATCTTCTGCTCAAAGCTCTATGTTATACCACAAAAGCTAGGCTACAAGTCTTGGTTTGCCATAAAAGACAAGTCTTGGCTATAAAAAGAACCTACTATGCTTTTTAATTTACTGTACTTGTACATCTCACAGACAATTTTAGGAATACAATAACCTCATACATTCAGTACACTATTTTTATCAATTAAAGTACAATCACACTCTTAATCCACCACTTAGCGTACAAAGCCCTTTTCGAAATAGCAATTAATCTTTTAAGGAAAGCATGATAAATTTATATTAATCATGTCTAATGGGCTTTTGAAAAAGCATTATTAATGATCTTCGTTGACTAATTATAATCTTTAAGTCAGGCTTTAGATCACAGTATGTTGTTACAGTTAACACTTAGTAGCCATAAGCCGAAGCCATAGCCCAAAGCTTTAGCCCAGAACCCTAGCCTAGAGCTCTAGCCTTAGCTCTAGCCCTAGCTCTAGCTCTAGCACTAGCTCTAGCTCTAGCACTAGCTCTAGCTCTAGCTCTAGCTCTAGCTCTAGCTCTAGCTCTAGCTCTAGCTCTAGCTCTAGCTCTAGCTCTAGCTCTAGCTCTAGCTCTAGCTCTAGCTCTAGCTCTAGCTCTAGCTCTAGCTCTAGCTCTAGCTCTAGCTCTAGCTCTAGCACTAGCTCTAGCTCTAGCTCTAGCTCTAGCTTTAGCTCCAGGTGCCAAACTAGCCCTAGCTGTAAATATAAAACAAATCCAAAGCTCTAGCCCATAGCCTTAGTCCATAGCTCTATCCCAAAGCTTATAACTAAGTAGAAGCCTGAGCATACTAATCTTATGTGTAAATCTAAAACAATGCCTACAAGTAAACTTAAACCTAGACATACTGCGCCCAAGACTACTACGACTAAACTTTTGACGCCTTGCCTAATTTAAGCCTAAAATTAAGATAGTCTTTAGCTCAACATTTTGTTCCTCTGTTTTAGGAAATGAATTTTCCTAGCGTACAGTATCCTTTATATTACTATTATACTGTTTTAAAACACTTTATTTTAATTCGGCTAGTGTAAAAACGTGCAAAATGCGATTCTCGTCCGATCTGTTTTTAGCGTTTGAAATAAAAATTTTGATGAATTGTAAATCAGTTGCAGATTGTTTTGCTGTTCTCTTTTCTGTTCCCAAAATAGAAAACCAACAATAGTAAAGTTGTTTTGTGATCTGGTGATTCAGCGTGCTTAACGAAATATACGACATGATTTTTGGTTTTTAAAGTCTTCATTTCTCCATGTTAACACGATTAACATGGTTGTTTTGTGTTTTTGTTTAGTTACTGTAGATTTGTATGGTCTAAAATGTACTTTTACTTGAAATTGAAATTTCTTGTTTTTAAAAATTCCGAAATTTATAAAAATAGAAAAGTTCATATAGACCGTCATTATGAAAATCACAAAACTTGTCGCATATTGCTCATTATACTCTGTAAAATGGCCAGGTCAAGCCCAATATTTTGGCCCACTTTTTTCTAAACATGCTGTAGCCGAGCCCGGCCACAAAAGGGCCTACTAGACAGCTTTTTAAAGCTAGCCAAAACCAACAACCAAACCGCCCCCGGTTCCAAACTTGACTAATAGAACTTTGAACATTGAGCTAGGTTAGCTGGTCTTAAACTTAAAGAAACATAACTTTAGAGTACCAGTCAAACTGGAAAGTTCCACAATCAAGACAACTAGAGTTTCCCGGAGCTCTGGAGCCGGTGCTTGCAAATGTAACTTCAGAGATAAAGCCGGTACCAAACAGTTACAAAAATATTCATCTAGAGCAGGTGCGGCGGCTAAAGAATGTCAAATTTCAGAAATAACGACTCTTGCAGCCAACACGACTAAGTTTTGAAATTGGAGCCAAAGCGGTAACTAACAATTAAAAAAAGCGAAGACAAGGCTAAAGCCGGAATCAAAAGTTTTAAATTTAATAAACCTAAAGCAATTTTTGTAACAAAATCGATAGACTTAAATGTCCATAACTTTTTACATCTAATATCGTAAAACTCAAATTTCTTATGTATAGTCTAGTCAATTTGCAAACCATTCAACCAAACCTTATCATTTCTACTAATATTATTATAGTCTACAAAACGAACTGTTTATCGCTAATCTTGGTGTTTGATCAGCAAATCAGTAGCAATTTTGTACAAATCTTCCGAAACCTTAATTATCATTGAACCCAGGGCCGGGCGGGGACTTTTGGTCTGGGGGCAGGGGTCCAAAAATCCACAGGGGGACTACGTTCAAATTTTTTCGAAAATTTTTTTCTGGGGGGGGGGGTACCTCCCCCCCCCTCGCGCCCGGCCCTGATTGAACCCTTATCAATATCACTAAGCTTATACATCACTGAGGTATTATCAAAACCAGTAAGATCAAAATTACAAAGTGGTTAAGCCTACCTTACAAACCAGTCAAATCTATCTCACAGATCAAGCCGGCTCAACTAAACAGCTTGAGGTACCTATAATAACAGCCCGGTCAGATTTTTTATCAATTTAAGGCGAGCCACAGGCAAATACAATCCTGGCTCGCTATTGAACCTTTACCTACATTCTTTCGCTAAATCACTGACATTTCACTGACATCATAAAGCCCTCGTGAGTTGCAACAGCCTGTTTGCACAATAAATAAAAGTTTTCAGTGATAAGGTCATTTATGCACATCACGAGGAAGCGATTATTGTTCAGTTGATTTCATAGACAAACTGACTGTAAACAGTGTCTATCTAATGTTTAGTGAGGTCATTGATAAATCATGACATGTGTTTGGTTTCTGGTTTGATTTACATAATTAGATCAAAAACATGGTTAGACACAACACAGTGTCTTGCCTTGCCTTGCCTTGCCTTGCCTTGCCTTGCCTTGCCTTGCCTTGCCTTGCCTTGCCTTGCCTTGCCTTGCCTTGCCTTGCCTTGCCTTGCCTTGCCTTGCCTTGCCTTGCCTTGCCTTGCCTTGCCTTGCCTTGCCTTGCCTTGCCTTGCCTTGCCTTGCCTTGCCTTGCCTTGCCTTGCCTTGCCTTGCCTTGCCTTGCCTTGCCTTGCCTTGCCTTGCCTTGCCTTGCCTTGCCTTGCCTTGCCTTGCCTTGCCTTGCCTTGCCTTGCCTTGCCTTGCCTTGCCTTGCCTTGCCTTGCCTTGCCGTGCCTTGCCTTGCTTTGTTTTTACATTTTTCTCTCAATGATCAGCCAAACTGACGCCTACAGCAAGAATAACCTACAAGTATTCTCAGCTAAAAAGCCATTAAAGATTGACAAACTTGAACTGATTGATATTAAAGTGAGATCAATTAGTTAACCTATCAAATAACTGATAACACAACAATAATTCTTGGGAAAGTTGTAACACAGTTCAAATTAATTGTAATCTTTTAAACTAATTCTTTGCAAAATGTTTTAAAACATTTTTAAGTTACTTATTACGTATTATATATATTTATACTATATCATAAATATAAAAAACAAAACATTTTCTTGTAATAATAGCATAATAATGTGTCAAAAGCTTTTACCATGACTAGACTTGTGAAAAGGTTACACCAATTTTTCAGTATGCAGTTGATAAGATTGGTTTGAGCCTTTGAGGCATTGTGTCAGCACCTGGAGCTCTAGGCCTTTGGTTTGAGTTTCTGAAGCTTTGGTCTGACTCTCTGGGGCCTTGGATAGAAACCTGGGGCTTAAGTTGGAGCCCTGTCTACTTAGTCTGTGCCCCTGGAGTCTTAATTTAAGTTTCTGGGGCTTTTAGAATATTTCAGCTACGAAGCTTTTGATTTTGGCTTTAGAGCTATAGAACGTTGGTTTGAACTTTGGGACTTTGGTTTGAGTTCAAGGACTCAGTCTGATCTCTTGGAACACTGGTTTGATCACCGGCCCTGGGTCTCATGTGTGCCAGCTCTGTCCTTTTCACATTTGCTTCGGTCCGATTTTACATCTTACTCTCAAGCTAAGTTTATACTGTACTAATATACTCTACTTGATCAATTTTTCAAAATAATACATTATCACTCCAGAAATTGTGTAGAAACAGTCTAGACTTGACTCATGTCCTGTCATGTGTAAGGTTTTTAGTTCCTCCACTTTAAACTATGGTAATCGGTTTCCAAAGTTTGTTTTGCAGGCCTTATCACCCGGCTGATAACGTGTTTTTCGATTTAAAAATACATTTACGACTCATGGAATCTGAGGGTGATTTCGGTGCAAACAGGACAAAGAACAATATTTGATTGATATTTGCAATTGACAAAGATTCTAAAGTTTGACATATTGTGAACAAGAAGGTACAAGTGGTACACATATCTTAAAAAGCCATGTAATTCTAATTCAAAAAATTTATTTAAAATTTGAAAAGTTAAAATTTTTTATGTGTACTATTGGTGGTACAAAGCATTTATTTAATTTATTTTTTATAACGAATTGCTAGAGGATTTAAAATTAGTTTGTTATGAAGAGGGTTTGTTATACAGAGGTTTCAAATGCACTGTGTAGTATTAGCCAGAGATTTAACGGTTGTTCGTTATACAGTGTGCGCCAAAAGTTATGTTACACGGTTTTTTAAACAAATATTTATTTTAACAACAAACATAACTAAGACAACAACTAAAAATAGTAACATATAGTACTAGTTATAACATAGTCAATCAGTTTCGAAGTGACCCTCTTTTGCGGCTTGGCACAAGCGCAAACGCTTCAAAAAGTTTTCAGCGATGGGCCGCAACACTTCCGGTGACAGTTTGTCCCACTCTTCGATCAATGATTGTTTCAAAAACTTCAAAGTTTGGTGTCTTCCACAACACACCCTAGCTTGTGTACAGGAGTTTCATTACACCGAGTTTTTTTATACAGAGCTTCCGCTGTTTGAACGGATTCTGAGTGGGACAGATACTTTCTCTGTAAGCAGAACACGTTAGTATCTTTAGGAGCATATTATTGTGCGCTAAATGTTTTTGTTTTAGAGAGCAGCAATTTAGGTTATTAATATCTTTTCTTTTTACTTTAGATTATTAATTAGTATGTGTAGAATAACTAATATGTTTTAAAATAGTAAAAAACAATGTTTTTTACTAACACATTTCCAAATTTCATTACTTAAACCATTAAATATTCAAGTGAGTATGTATTAACGTCATTTTTCTGAAGCTACATTCCTTTTTTCATAAATATTTTCACACTTTCTGCTTTGTCCTAGCCAAATCCGTTTATTTCAACTCGAGTGAAAAAGATTTGAAGAGAGTTTTGGGCACTTAATGTGCCCAGTTTTGGCCAAAAGCAAATAACAAGTGTATGTCGTGCATATGTATTTGGTAGTAAACACTTAATCGTTAAAACTTTTTTCTTTTTTTATTTTTTTGTATTCTAATTGATATATTTGGGTATGTCATGAATGGTAATGGTTGAGTTTAAACTTTGAAGTTGAGGTTGAGCTTGAGCTTAAGTTTAAGCGTGAGCTTAAGGTGGCCTGAGCTTAAAACTGAGTCTGAGCTTAAAATTGAGGTATTAGAGCTTGAATTTGAGTTAAAGCTTGAGCCTCAGCCCGAGCCAAAGCCTAAGTCTAAGTTTCTTTATGCCTGAGCCTAACCCTGACTTTAAGCCTAACCCTGAGCTTGAGCTTAACCCTAAGCCTGAGCCTGAGCCTGAGCCTGAGCCTGATCCTGAGCCTGAGCCTGAGCCTGAGCCTGAGCCTGAGCCTGAGCCTGAGCCTGAGTCTGAGCCTGAGCCTGAGCCTGAACCTGAGCATGAGCATGAGCAACAGCTTGTGCCTAAGCTTGAAGGCGAGCCTGAGCCTAAGCCTGAGCTTGAGCCTGTGCCTGAGCCTGAAACTAAGCCTGAGCCTGAACCTAAGCCTGAGCTTTAGCCATAATTTTTTCCAATCTTATCTACCATACACAGTCTATCATAGAAATACGTAGCAGAACACGTTGTTTATTAGTGCTCAATTAGCTTTGTTTGTCTACATGGCAAAGACTAGAAAGCGAATGTTCTTCTGTGGGAACGTTATTTTGGTCTTATAATTGTACTTTGCAGAAAATTTTTTTACAATTATATTTTTCTAGGTCGCATAGGTACTAGTGTTTCTAGATGTAAAAGTCACACTTTTCTGGTTTTGGGACTTTGTAAAGAATGTTCTTACCATTTTCTATTTTGTAAAGAAAGTTTTTGCTATTTTAAGCTTTGTAAAGAAAGTTCTTGCTATTTTAAGCTTTGTAAAGAAAGTTCTTGCTATTTTAAGCTTTGTAAAGAAAGTTCTTGCTATTTTATAATGTTGTGAGTAAATATTCATATATTACCAACCCATTATCTCTTACTCTACTTATGAAGATATCTTGTTTTTACATTGTTTTACTTCCCCAACCGACTACGTAATGTGTTGTTTAGGTATAGTACGACAATAAAAAATAAAAATATTTATTACATGCACGTATACCACACAAGTGGAATTTACACTTGTATGATATATAGAGGTGCATTTCATTTTTTTCGAAATTTATCCGCTTTAATGCATTGTCCTTCTACATGGCTACACTTTTTTTATGCAATACTTATATGGAAGTCAGATTGGAATTTAAAAATTTGTTTTAGTTTGTTGTTTACATGTGTCATACGGAACTGACAGTAACTTTATGCTGTTGCAAAGCTTTATGTTTTCATTATACTTTTAAGGCGCAGAATTTATGAACTGGCTTCAAATCAAAGTTAGCTGTTGACTTAGGCTTAGGGTAAGAATTAGGCTTGCGCTTACGTTAAAACATAGACTTAAGCTTAGGTTTAAGCTTAGACTGAAGCTTTGGCTTAGACCCAGCTTCAAAATCAAGCTCAAGATCATACTCAAACTCAAGCTCAGGCTCAAGCTCAGGTTCAAACTTAAGCGAGGTTCAGAGACGCAGGCTCAGGTTTTAGGTTTAGACTCAAGTTTATGCTCAGGCTGAGGTTTTTAGCTCACACTAAGTCTCAGGCTCACAATCAAGCTCAAGATCAAACTCAAACTCAAGCTTACGCTCACGCTTTTTAAAACTTAGGTTCAGGTTCAGGCTTACGTTCAAGCTCAGGCTTTGATTCAAGCTGAAGCTCACGCTTAGTCTCAGACTCAGGCTTAGACTCAGGCTCAGACCCAAGCTCAGGCTGAACCCAAGCTTACGTTCAAGGTAAAGCTCAAAGTCAAGCTCAATGTCAACCACAAACTCAAAATTAACCTCATGCTCAAGCTTAGGCTCAGGCGCAAGCTCAGCGTGAGTTTTAGACTCAGACTTATGTCACGTTTCATTTTGTCATTGATTTTAATTAAAATTTCTTGAAAAACTACTTGGGCATAAAACAAACAGCCTGGGGGGCTTTTGACGATTTTCTTAATAACAGGAAACGGAAATGTAGATAGGCATGTGGAGTTGTAAACAGGGTTCAGGGGTATGTTTTCAAGACAAAAATGCCTTGGTCTCAAGCTCAACTTCAGTCTTAGGCTTAATCTTAGACTTATCTTTATGCTCAGACTTAGCTCATGACATATGACAGATTTAAGTTACGTAGAGATATTCATATTAATATTTTATGAATGCTTTAAGAAATAATTAAAAAATGAATAAAGTAAGGCCGGAAACCGGAGTATAGGTATTAATGCAAGCTTAAATGTATTAAAATTGGCATAATTGGGGGTATAATCTTGTTGGAGATGTTCGAAATAACTTTCAATAGCTTTCATAACGTTTGGTGGGGGGTTATCTGTATAGTGGCTTTCTGTTATTGCGCAATATTTTTGGTAAGGTTTGTTATGACTAGATTTAGACTTGGGCTTAGGTTTGGGATTAAGTGTAAGCATAGGTTTGGCTTGTGTAAGGCTTGGCTAGGGTTTGGCTAGGACTTGGCAAGGGCTTGGCTAAGGTTTTGCTAGGGCTTGGCTAGGACTTGGCTAGAGCTTCGCTAGGGCTTGGCTAATTCTAAGCTAGAGCTTGATTGTTGCTTGGTTAAGGCTTGGGCCGAAATGTAGCTACGCTGTGTCTTAAGTTTAAACCTGTTTTTAGGTTTAAGAATACAATGTGTTTATATGTATAGTTAATTTAAAATTGGATATAGATTTAAAAATGTTCTTGCAAACGTAAAGTTTGCTTAATTAAAACATGTTTCATGCATATGACATGGAACAATGAAAAAAACGAAACGCTTTTTTATGTATCTACGTATATCATAATTTAATTATACAGCAAAATTTTTTGAAGTTTAGGAGCCCACGCTTTCAATTTGAGCTTTGTTGCTGTTTATAGCTTTAAACTTTGTACCTACGAGGAATTTATACTAAAAATCCTTCGGTTTAAAACGGGGTTTATACGTATATTATAGAAGAACATCAAAACTTACCGGAAAAATTATTCCCAAAAAATGCTAAATGGTTTTAGCTAGCGCGTTACAGTACGTACCGTAATTTTAGCTGTTGTTCTAGCTTTGGAAATGAAACCGTTTGGGAGCCGGGCCGTTCTGGAACCGGGGCCTTTCCTGAGTTAGAACTGTTTTGGGGGCCTTTTGTACTGAAATTCGACATTTTTGGCCTTTAGCTCTGGCTCTGGCTTTGGCTTTGTTTTTTCATAAATTTTTGCTCCAGCTGCTGAGCTTTTGAAAGCTTAGATAAATTACTTTTGTATAACTAAACTTCTGCATAACAAAGTCATGTATAACGTGCTCCTCTGTAACAAACTTTTTTATAACAAAATCCTTGTATAACAAAACAATTTTAAAGCTCTAACACTACACTGCGCAATGAATACTTCATTATAACAAAAGTTTTTTATATAACAAAAGAATTCAAATTTTCTAGCGATTTGTTTTACAAGACTCCACTATACCTATATGTATGTAAAATATATATACAGTAGAACTCCTGTATAACGAATTGCTTGCGGGCTAGAAATTTGTTTGTTATAAGGGAGTTTCGTTATACAAGAGTTTTAAATGCACTGTTCAGTGGTAGACGGGGATTCAAAAGTTGTTCGTTATACGGGATTTTTGTTATAGAGGAGTTTGTTATACAGGAGTTCCACTGTACCTTTAAATATTTTCCCTTCACACATCACTTTCATACCAACTCGAATATAACGGCCTCAAAAAAGCGCTGTTTGAGTCGCATCTCACGTATGTACATTTTGAAGTACGTATTATTGTTTTTTAACTCGTATATAAAACATTCCTTTAGGGGGTTTTGTTTTTCCGTCGGTTTTCGAGGCCGCTTTTTGAATTTTATTAATTTTTGGCAAAATCGGAAAAAGTTGGGGGTCGTTTTGGGCGGGTTTTCTCAATTCCAAGCAACAGAAAACGGTTTTTTGTTTCGGAAATTGGCGTAGAAATTTGTTTGAAATAAAATGCTGGTTTGGGTTTGAACTCAATTTTTTGGTTTATGTGCTAGTTTGAGTTAAAATTTGATTTGTTAAAAGTTAATATAGGCTCAGTAGGACTAGGCGGAGGTTTAGTAAACGTAGGTTTAGTCAGTTTAGGCTTAGTGGGCTTATGCTTAGTGGGCTTAGGTTTACTATGACTAGGCTTTGCAGGCTATTACTTAGAAGACTTAGGCTCACTAGGTTCATCAGGCTGAGCACACTTAGGCTGCTTAGGCTTTTGTTTCGTACGCTTAGGCTTAATATCTTACAGTTAGTGTTCATAGGCTTAGTAGGCTGAGGCTTAGTAGAGTTGAGTTTAGGGCTCTTAGGCTTAGTGAGTTTATGCTTAGTAGGCTTAGACTTAGTACTCTTAAACTTAGTAGACATAGACTTACTACTTTTAGGCTTAGACTTAGTAGACTTAAGTTCAGCACTCTTAGGCTTAGTGGATTTATGATTAGTAGGCTCAGGCTTAATGGGCTTAGACTTAGCACTCTCAGGCTTAGTAGGCCTAGGCTTAGTGAGCTTAAGTTTATTACTTATAGGCTTAGTGGATTTATATTTGGTAAGCTTTAAGCTTAATAGGCATAGTAAATTCAAGCTCAGACTTTGGCTTAGGTTACGCTTTAGCTTAGAGTTAGGCTTAAAATTAAGCGATAGCTTTAACTTAAAATTACTTTTAGGTTTTAGCTTATGCTTTATTTCAATATTTGAGGCTTAGGATTAAATTACGACTTAATTTTTAGTTGTTTGGTTTGTTAGGCTTATGTTTTATTTGTTAGGCTTATGTTTCTACTGTATACAGTCTCATTATCTCCAAAATCACGTTTCACATACCTACGTAGCCCCTCAGACACCACTTACAGTCATTTCTTCTGCATTTTCAAACCCCAAGCGTCTTGTTTTAAAGTTTCTTGCAGAAGCACGCAGCCAAGTGATATTATCTTACGTTTTGGAAGTTTCCATTTCTTGCAAGTTGAACTTTGCCGTTCTCGAATTCGTCTCGAGAATTTTTTCTGGCCGTTTCGTTCCGTGTGGGCTTTGAATTTACATAAGTTCGGATTTTTGATGTTTTTGATTTATAAAAAGTTACGAATGGGTTGGGATTGACGTCAATTTTTATTTCATTTTTGGTCCATTGAAGATGGTAATAAAATATGAACATAAAATAGCAAGAACTTTAGTTACAAAACACAAAATGGTAAGAACTTTCTTTACAAAACATAAAATGGCAAGAACGTCCTTTACAAAATTTGAAATGGCAAGAACTTTCTTTACAGAGAATAAAATGGCAAGAACTTTCTTTTCAAAACACAAAATAACACTAACTTTCTTTACAGAACATAAAATGACAAGAACTTTCTTTACAAAACATAAAATAGTAGAAACTTTCTTTTCAGAACATAAAATGGCAATAACTTTCTTTACAAAACATATAACTTGAGTTTTTTTTCATAACAAGTAGCTTGTAACTCAATTTTAGGCTAGTGTACCAAACAAGAAATATCTGCCTTTACGCTTATTTAAATTCTCTACAAATCCAATTCCAGACGTTAAAAACTTTTGTTGTATTCCGTCGCGTAAACAGAAGCGGGTATTCAATACATATCAGATTGTGTTGGCTGACGTTTGTTATTTATTTGAATGAGTAAAAAAGTTCGAAGAAGAATTGAATCGTGCTTTATACGCCTAAAAATGGCTTCAAAACAACAAAAATGAAGCCGACGAAAGAGTAAGTGAACGGCTTCAAAGTTAGCCCAATTTCGCTGTCCCAGGTTTTGTTTTTGTTCGAACATTGGGATTTTGGGCGGCGGAGGATATTAGTATGATGAAGGTTATTACGGATTTTTTGGTACTATTTTTTCTACTTTTCTTGTAACCCACACCCTCTTTTAAAAAAGGGTGTAGGTTTCGTACTGTTGGCAATATTCAAGGTGCGCCAAAAGTTCTGTTACCAAAATTTACCGGTTGTTTTCTCTATGTTAAATAAAGGGTAAGAGACGAAAAAAGCTGAGCGAAACCTTGTAAGCTAGATAGAAAATGCCAGAGTAGGGTAGGGTAGTATGAAGTAAGATGGGATAGGATATAATAGGATACGCGATATGGGAGGATGGTTTAGGATGGGATAAGATGAAGTACAAAAAAGTACAATAGAGTAGGATGGGGTAAGATAGAGCAGAATGGAGTCAGATGGAAGTAGAAGAGTCTAGAATAGGGTAAGGTGGAGTAGGATTGAATAGAGCAGGGTACAGTAAAATACTTATAGTAGGATAGAGCAAAGTAAGATAGTACAGTGTAGAATAGACTAAGGTAGTGTAGGATAAGATAGGCAAGGCAAGGCAAGGCAAGGCAAGGCAAGGCAAGGCAAGGCAAGGCAAGGCAAGGCAAGGCAAATATAAATGTTGCCAAATATTTTATCTAGTTTTAACAACAAAGAACACGTTTTTTATGTCCGTGTTTATTCTTCATTCAACCTTTTTTTAAACTTCCGACACTTAAAGCTTCAAGCTTATTATATATTTTATAGCAGGTGCTATGTGAGTACATGGGTTAGGTTATTATATATGAATATTGCAGAGGTTATAATTGGAGTTTTATATTTTTATTATGCTAGGGGTGAGAGCCTGTTTTAGGAGTAGTTTTAGGGTTAAGAAGCAGATATTGATAAAGCTGAGGTTGAAGTTGATCTTGAGGCTGACGCTGAGGTGGAGATTAAAACCAAGGTTGAGGCTAAAACTAAGGCTCAGGCTCAGGATATGGGTCAGGTTCAGGCTCAGGCTATGGGTCAGGCTCAGGCTCAGGCTCAGGCTTAGGCATAGGTTCAGACTTTAGCTTAAAATGTAGTTTAAACTCAAGCTTAAGTTCATCCTCAGCATCTAACTCTAGGCGCAATCTCAGGCTTAGCCGCTATCTCAAGTTCTGGTTTAAGCTCAAGCGCAGTCCCAGGCCCTGGCTTAAGCTGAAGCTCAGGCCCAATTATAATAATATAGGTTTTTGAAGTCCAATTACGTAGTTGGCCAAGTTTGTCTGTTGACATTCGATCCGCTTCCATAATTAGTATGCCATTTGGTTTCTTTTTTCGTCTGTGCATTCGAGAGCAGAAGGAACGCTGTATTCTAGCGTGATTCTCTTCTTTTAAGTATACAGCTGCTTTAGACAACTCTAACTTATCATAGTTTCTATTTACTTTACTCTAAATTAAATTAATTAAACTAACTTTAACTTATTCATTTACTATGTAAACGAGCGGAAATCATATATCCAGCAGAGAATTAAAACGCCGTATTTTACAAAACTGCCATTTCAGGTAAAATGGCATTTCTCGGACAATTATCTGCCAAGTTCAACGAAGTTAAAACCCAACTCCCATTGAATTCGGTATTGGATAACGTGAACAAAGTCAAACAGAACGTTGTCAACAATCCTGTTTTCAACAAATGCACACAGCAACTTGACAGTCTTGGCAAGATCTTACAAGTAAGGTTTAGAAAAAAACGAGATAAAAACTTCAACTTTAGCATAAGCCGACCCAGTTAAGCCTAGGATTGAAGCTTAAAATTAAAATGAATTTTAAGTTAAAACTTAGTCTGTGCTTAAGATAGAAGCTAAGGCTAGGAGTTGGCTTGGAGCTTGTCTTGGGTATGATCTTACGCTGAAGCTCACGCCCAGGTCCAATCTCAACTTCAAGCTTTAGTGTAAGCTTAAATTCAAGCTTGGCTCGAGCTTATGCTTAATTCCAGATTTAAGCTTAAGTGCAGTCTCTGGGTTGGTTTTTGGCTGTGTTTTTTTCTCTGTATCAGGCTCAAGCTTAAGTTTTTGTTTAGACTTATGCTTTGGCTGAGTCTCATGCCAAAGCACGAACTGAAGCTCGAGTTCAAGCTATAGTTAAGCTTAGTCTCAAACTCAAGCTCAGGCTTGAAGTAAAGCTCGAGCGTAAGCTCAGTCTTAGATTAAGGCTCCGGTTTAAGCTTAGCTTACTTAATACCATGCCTGGGTAAGCCTAGCTTTATAAAAAATCTTTAAACTTTTAACGTTGATTTTTAGGTAAATGTGAACCTAAAGCAATCACCGATTGATCTCCTGCCTCTGTACACTGCGTTTGACCCTGCACTAGAAAACGCAACTTTTAGGTAGGCTTTAAAAACTTATCATATCAAAAAGTTGAAATCATAAAGTACGTCAGTCAGTCATTAAATAAAAATACAAATTATGACATCCGAAGCCACGGACGTCGTTTGGGGGTACCTGAGCCGATCCGAAAAAAAAATCCACAGGTAGGTACCTGTACGTGAAAAAACGAAAAAAAAACTTTTCGAAAAAACGGTCCACAGGAGACCAAAATTTTTTGGGTCTCCACCCCCCCCTCCCCCCCCAGCAGAGAAAAACCGTAGTAGCGACGTCCTTTTAATTTTAGATAATATTTTAATTGTTTTGAGAGGTTTTACGTATATACGACAAAATTAACCAATGTCTGATATGAGTTAAAAATGTCAACATCATAATTAGTTTCATTTTTGATTTTTTTGCAAAAAGCCTTAACTTTTTTTTAGGTGCAGCCTACTTTTTAACCTTACCATTAGCTATAGAAATCATCATATACTTAGAGTCAGTCAGTGTTTTGCCGGACCGGTCCGGTCCGCGGACGGACGGACCGAAACAAAATTTTTTGCGGACCGGCCCGGAAAAAATTTTTTTTTTATTTTTTTTAAAACTGCTTTAAAAAATTGCAAAGAAAACATATTTTTAAGTGTTTTTAAACGTAGAAAAAGCAATTTTAGCGCTCTTTGCTTTTTTTAAAAATAAAAAAATTTTTTTTTTGCGGACCGGACCGGACTTAAAAATTTTGGGTTTGGACCGGACCGGACCCAAAAATTTGAAGTTTGGACCGGACCGGACCCGAAAATCGCCGGACCGGACCGGTGAAAAACGCTCCGGACCGGTCCGGGCAAAACACTGGAGTCAGTCTTAAAAAGCAGCTTTAAAACTTGAAAAATTATTTATACAAATGAAAAGTGCATCAGAACATAATACATAATTAACTTTTTTAGCTGCTCTTAAAAATATAGTTGCAACTTTCAAAAATTTCTATACTATCCTTAATTCACTTATCAACAGTTTATAAATGGTTAAAAACAAAAACTTTTACTTTTTTCATATTATAGTTTTTTAAAAATGTCTTTTTGTATTTTCTGTAAAAATGAAATATGTAGTAACTCCCCCCCCCCAGCGCCCGGCCCTGCCTACTCTCATACCTATAAAAAGCCTTGTAAAACAGTCAAAAATTATGCTACGAAAGCGGATTACACTATTTTACGTCGGCGGAAGCTTTAACGGATATATAACTTGAATAATCTTGATTTCTTACAACATATATAATAATGATGAAACAATATTAACTAAATGCTAGCTTTATATTTAGCTTAATCTTCTGAATATCAAGTGGATTTTTTGAAACAAACAACTATTACTTATAAATTACTGCGTAAAAGATTACTGTTATATCAAAATTTTTTCAAAGTTTTAAAATTTTTAAAACTTTAAAATTTTCGAACTTTGAAATTAAAATTTTTTTAAATTTTAATATTAAAGCATACCTATTGCAGATTCGACTACGACGACACCACCCAATGTATCCTCCGTAACATTGGCCAATGTTTGTCCATCAAGTACCCGGATGGTGCTTCTGATGACATGGGTATCTCATTCTTGCCTGAAGAACAGTATCATCTGGATACTGTGAATCTTCACTGGGGATCCGAACCTATGAATGGTTCTGAACATACAGTTGGTGGTGTTGGCTATGCTGGGGAACTGCACTTTATACACCGAAACTTGAAGTACACCAGCCTGGAGGCGGCTTCTAAACAACCAGATGGCATCGTGGCTTTCGCTGTGTTTTTGAATGTGAGTTATATAGACTAGGGATTGGGCTAGGACGTTGGGCTAGAGTTCTGAGCTAGGGTTTCGAACTAGAGCTCTGGCTTGGGCTAGGACTCAGGAAAAACTTAGGGCTCATAAATAAAAAATTATTTCAGGAATCCCACGGTGACAATCTCAACTTCATTCCACTGACTAATATCTTATCTAATGTGCAGTACAATGGAAGTGAATCTGGACTCTCAGGCTTCAAATTCAGTGCTTTATTGCCACCGAATGAGAAAGCCAAAGAGTTCTGGGTTTATGAAGGATCAGAAACGGTGGAACCGTACCGTGAAACATTGAAATGGATCGTGTTTAGAGCTGCCATACCTATATCTTCTGAACAGGTAAGGGAATTTGTAAAAGAAATGCTGTTAGAAAAGTAAAAGGTTGGGTAGTGTGATGTAAGATACGGTAAACTGAGGCATGATAAAATATGTTAGGGTGAAGTAAGGTAGAACAGAAAAAAGCGGGGCAGGATAGGGCGAAGGCAGGAAAAAAGCAGGGCAAAGGCAGGGCAAAGGCAGGGCAAAGGCAGGGCAAAGGCAGGGCAAAGGCAGGGCAAAGGCAGGGCAAAGGCAGGGCAAAGACAGGGCAAAGGCAGGGCAAAGGCAGGGCAAAGGCAGGGCAAAGGCAGGGCAAAGGCAGGGCAAAGACAGGGCAAAGGCAAGGCAAAGGCAGGGCAAAGGCAGGGCAAAGGCAGGGCAAAGACAGGGCAAAGGCAGGGCAAAGGCAGGGCAAAGGCAGGGCAAAGGCAGGGCAAAGGCAAAAGCAAAGCAGGGTAAAAAAAAGTATTCAAATTTGATATTTCAGTTAGAGAAGCTGCGTCAACTCAACAAAACCAAGTACGAGGACGAAGTTGAAGCTAAAATGACTCCAATTCGGTCTATTCAACAACTAAATGGTCGTTTGGCACGGTCGTCGTTCAAGTCTGTCGCTCAAGCTGAACTACCATAACATCTACATTAATATTGTTTACATTAGCTTGTATTGTACTTCTACTAGAGCTAATAGTACTTTTTTAGTATACTAGTACTAGTACTAGAGCTAATGGTACTTTTTATAGTCTTAATAGCACTAGTTCTACAACTAATGGTACTTACTACAACATTTTATAAAATTCAAACTTTTTAAAATTTGAATTATTGCGTCATAATGATAATCATCGCTTATACTGATCTCTTTAAATAAACTAATTTTGATCATAATATTGATATTGTTACCTATTAATATATTTAAAGCTATATATTACCTAAAGTATCAAAATCTCCAAAACTTACCGATCAAGTCTCAAAATGTTCGTATTTTACCGAAAGTAACAACAAGATAGTTGTGTAAACACCATTACAATTTAGCATAACGCAGTAATAATGGCAATTATAATCCAAAAATAGGCTAATTAGCTGGTGAAATAATGGTCATATGACGATTGTTTTGTAGCAACTATTGTTAAATATATGTGAAATACAGAGTATTTGTCGTATTTATAGGCATTTTGTGCATGACACTTTGTAACATGTCTTGCAATTTTTGAAATTTGTTTTAATTATAGACTTTTATAGTTGTATATATATATATATATGTAGTAGTAGTAGTTTGGTATAGGCAGTAAATTGGTTGTATATTCATTGAAGTTTTTGTATTTTATGTAGCATATATACAGCTATATACTTGTATATACAGTGAGCTGTTGTATATGTAACAAATTGTTCAACAATTTAGAATTTTGTGCGTTGGTATACAGAAGTTTTAAATAAAAATTGCGTTGGCTGGGAATTTCAAAGGTGCTTGTTATACAAAAGTTTTTGTTATAGAGGGGATTGTTTTGCACGAGTGATATCTTTGTCTTACTCTTGCCTAAACTTTGGCTTACTCTTGTTTTCTATTGGTCTTGGTTTTGCCTTACTCTTGGTTAAATCTTGCTCTGCTTTTGCTTTGCTTTTAGTCATGCTGTTCTTTTTTGTTTTACATTTGTTCTACTCTTGCGGTGCTTTTGCCTTTTCTATGTCTTTTTGTTGCCCTGTCTTCATCTATTTAACACTTGTCTTGCTTTTGGGGCTTACTCTCGGCTTTCTTTTGTTCTTGTCTTTGTCTTGCATTGCGCAACTCTTGGTCTTGTCCTTGCCATTCTCTTGCTCTGTTATTGGCCTTGTTTTAAACTTCCCTTCCTCGGCTCTGCTGTTTAGCCTTTGCTTTTTCATTGATCTGTTTTTGTCTTGCTCTGACTTTGCTTTGTCCTGGCCTAGCTTTTGCCTTACTATGGTCTTACATTTGTCTTGATGTTATCCTTGTTCTTACCTTGACATTGCCTTACTGCTGTGTACCTTTGTTCTTACTTTTCTCTGCTTTTTGCCTTGCTTTGTCTTAGTTATGTCTTACTTTTCTCCTGCTGTTTGCTGCTGTTGGCTTTGCTTTCGCCTTGTCTTTTGGTCTGCCTGCTATGCCTATGTCTTTTAACCAATACCAAAAACTTGCTTTGTGCTTAGCTTTAAAGCGATATCATATCACATCCTCCTACACCATCGAAAAAAGTGTTTTTGTACTATACTACGTTGATCGCTTAACGTCAACAGATTAACACCCTACAATTTAGTATAACTTCCGCTAATAAATACTCTTCCAGCCTTAAATTACAATGCTATTTGGGGATAGTACGAAACATAATACTATGGTTGAAAGCAGACATTTCAAAACATTGCAAAACACTTTCCTAAAGTGGGGATTAACTACAGTTGTACGTAATATAGGGACGTCATCACGGTAGTAAGTCATTTTAGAGGGAAGACAGTGTGATGTTGTAAGAGACGGCAGAGTTGGTTACAGTTTGAAGAAGAGGCAATTAAAGAGTGTAGAAAAAGTGGGAAGTTTAGACAAGATGATGGTGCTAAATAGTATCATAGTAGCTTTTAAAGTAGTGCCTTGGAAAGAAGAGAGTGAGAGAGTAGGAATTACGAAGAGACGACAGAGTATGGTCAGACAAAAGGGGGTGGATCCTAGAGATAATTTTGAGAAAGACGTTTTGTTTATATAACTGTAGATTACTACTGACTATATACCTCATAGTAATATGGCATATATCATGTAGTTCTACTGGGGCAATAGGCTTATATATTTATGAAAAAACTTTACTTTACTTTCTATGACAAAGTTTACTGTACTGCATTTCAATGTTTACTGTACCGTTCGTGTTAAAAATGACTGTACGTTCAATGATATACTTTATCGTACTTGTATTATAGATGGCAAAATTTACTCTACTGTCTATGACACTATTTACTGTGCTGAATAGGACAAGATTTATCCTCCTATCTAGAACAAAATCTATTGTACTGTCTATAACATTGTTTTCTGTACTGGTGATGACAAAATTTATTGTACTGTCGAGTAATGACTGTGTACTCTAATAAGTCTATAAGTTCGTAGAACTATAATAAGGAAAATTTTCTGACTTTAATAGGGTTGGTTGGTACATTAACAAAATTACAGTAAACTTAGGACACTACAGTGAACTTTACGTACCCTACTCTGCTCTACCTTGCCCTGCGTGCCATGCCTTAAAAAATCTGTGAGGGGAGGGCCCTCCCCCAAAAAAAATTTTCGAAAAAAGTTGAACGTGATTCCTCTTGTAGATTTTTTGAAATTTTTTTTCGATTCCCGCTCCCAAACCAAAAATTCCCGCCCAGCCTTGACTGCACCCTAAAACTTTTTTAATTCCTTTACCATTCCATCTTTACTACACCTTCCTTACCGTTAAAATACCAATCCTACACAAATTATAACCCTTACCTGTCAAAATCTAACCCATGCCAGTTTATTTACCTCATTTTTTTCATAAACATCTTGCGAAATTTCTGCGACATAACTTTAGTGAATACGATTCATAGAACGGAGGTAAATTATCGTGCTATAATCCAAAAATTACTCTTACAAATGTGATATCACATTACTCGAAAACACTTTTGGAGAGGTGTTTTTGAAATAAAGTGGGTTTTTAAAGGTTGATTTCACATTTTGAAATTTCAAGTGTTGAAATATGTCATAGTATTAATTTGGCTAGACTTTTATTATAAACATGGCAAATTGGGTTGGAGATGGAATTATGTGTGTGATGATGGACATATGATTACAATTGTCAATTTAATATGATTTTTTGGAGGTAAGGGAAGAGAGAGGAGACGGAGAGAGAGAAGGGTGATTTTTTTGTTGAGTGGTCTTTGTTGCGCTGCCTTTGTCTTACCCTTGCCATATTGGAGATCTACCTTTGTTTTCAACTTTGCTTCACTGCACTCTCCTTACTTAACCCTACCTTACTCAATCTTGCTATATATTAGTTTGCCTTACCTTACCCTACCCTACCTTACCCTACCTTACTCAATCTTGCTATGTATTAGTAGTTTACTCTACCTTACCTTACCCTACCTTACATTACTCTTCTTTGCTTTATCCTATTTTGTCAAACTTTTGTCCTACCCTAACTTTTGGTTAATTTTGCTTTATCCCACCCATTACGTCAGATATAATTTACTGTATAATTTCTAAATATAGCCCTACTTAACCTTGTTACCATAACACAGATGCATAGATAATCATTATTTTTGTAACTTTCGAGATGAATTGAATAACAACACAAGTGGTAAACATGTTGTACATACTATTATCATGCGTGCGTCACATATTTACCGTGTTTTTTCTACAAAAACAGTAATGACATATTACTCTTCAGCGCTTCTTCTTGACGTCAATTAGCCTACAAATCGGCTGTTTTTGACTTTTAATTGAAATTTTTTGTCATTCAACTACAACAAATCGTCGTATCTTTGGCCGAACGTAGTGTGACATACCATTGTGTATCATCTACAACATAAGCTTTTTGAATTTTACTGTAATTTTGGAAGTTACTGTAGAATACCATCTACTATAATATACTGATATACTACTAAATTATCAGCACTACCTTTTTACTTGCAGTACTAACTAAGATTTTTACTACAGTACTACCCTACAGTAACGTACCTACTAAACTACTAACAGTTAATATCAAGTCTTACTGTAAAAGTTACAGTACAAGAACAAGAAATGGGTCTAGGAAAGTGTTTGGTCAAGAAATTCTTCGGTAAAACTGATAATTGCTTCCTGGATGAATGTGAATTAGAAGAGCTTATCAACCGATTACTGGTGATTAAAGGCCTTTTATTGGGCGGGTATACCGATGCCGAAAGGAATATGGAGCTACAAGGAAGGCTACGGTCCATTGGGTACATGGGCGAGGAGGTAAATTATTTTTTATAAACGTATTTGGATAGTAGGGTAAAGTCGGGTTGTGTAAGGTAGAATAAGGTAAAGTAGAGCATTGTGGAGTAGGGAAGGGTAGGGTAGAAAAATTATTTTTCAAAAAATTTTTCTTGAAAAAGTTGAGCTTGGTCCCTCCTGTTGGCCCAAAGTTTCAAAATTTTTTTTTAAATTTTAAATTTTTTTTGCTATAAGCTAAAATGACTTTTTCAATGCAACTCCCAACATAAGCTTCATATTTACTATAGTTTCTGTCCATATCTAACCGAAACCCATTTCAGAACATCCACGACATGGAGGAATACCTAGTCGAGCGTATTGAAGATCTTTTGATCAACTTTGACCTTGCCGATAGACTATCATTTTTACACGCCCAGCCTAGAAACTACGTGTTGAAAGTGGCAGAAGATATGGGAATTGACCTTGAGGATGAGATAAAGACTCCAGTACGTACTCCTGATGGCCGACGTTCTGTTGAAGAACGGTGTGCTAGGGGGGAGTTTGACTCGATATTCTGATTATAATTTGCCTTAACGTATCCTACCGTATACTACTGTATTCTACCTTACCCTATCTTACCCTACCTTACCTTTACTCACCCTAACTTACCCTACTTTACCTTACCGTACCTTACCTTATACTACTGTACCCCACCCTAACTTAACCTACCGTATCTTACTGTACCCTACCTTACTCTCAATACTATGATGCTACGTTCATTACTGTGATACTTAATCAATGACTTATAACAATGATGTACATACATAAGTCGTATTTCTTTATCAATAACAATACCGTATCATAATATTTTTTACTACTTATGTAAACCAATATTGTACATAAATATAACTTGTCATATCTTCATTACTTTTGTTTTTCACGTTACTATTCTTTATTGAATTGTATTCTAGGTATGATTACCGTAATATTGTACTGTACATAGCTTTTTAATATTGTATTTTCTGTATACTCATTATATTATCTTTACGATGCTGTACTGTACGAGTACGTAGTACAGAACTTTTGACATGTGTGTTCTTAGTACAAGTTTTTTGTCTTACAGTCCTGTAAAGTTACTATTTTTTTGTATAAGTCTTTACTACAATACTGTAGAGCATCTGATAGTCATAAGACTTATTGTATTATAAGAACCTTCTTCATGATATAATAGTATTTTTAATTTAAAATGTAATAACTACAATGTACTATGCATTATCACACTAACAATGAATGCCTTACCGTACACGTTACTTCTTTCATTTTGTATTATCTTTTAATAATAAACTTTGTATAAAATCAGCTGAGAGAAAAAATAAAATTAACTACAAGATTCTAAATTTTAATGTAACGGCAACACATACAAAAAGTAAAATTGTAACTTACATGTTGTAAAAAGTCAAGAACCTTGAAAATATTGACAAAGTTAAAAACCTTCTTACTCTACGCAATTAAAGACAAACAATATGCTAATAATGACATAACTGCTCTACCCTACACTTACCTTACCTTACCTTTTACCTTTATTCTGTTCTACTTCTTAACACTATTCTACTATTCTTTACCTTACCTTTATCTTGTGATCCTCTTTCTTTTATGTCGACTTACTCCTTATTATTACTCTCCCTACCTTAACCGAAACTTGCCCTGCTTCTTATCTTTATACTGTTTTCCCGTTATTTTTACTTTGTCCTACCTTGCCTTTATTCTATCCCCTTTTATACCTCGCCCTGACCCTACTCTACCCTATTTTACCATTATCTTGAAATACCTCTTACCTTCATTCTGTTCATACTTCATAACTTTACCTTATTTTACTCTAAAGTTTACTATGCCCAATCCATTTTTCCTTCTGTTTGTTTGCTTTTTTACCTCCTTTACCCAACTCACCTTCAATACCTTTTATGAACTTTTTCTAAAGAAAGATTGAACAATTTCAATAACAATTTTAGCTTTGAGAGATCAAAATAAATACATATTTACTTTTCTTTATGATTTCACGAAATTCAGAAGCTTTTACTACTTTTGACCTATATTATCACAGCGTGAAGAAGCGATAACTGAGAAGAATCTACCTTACTCGAACCGTTTTAGATTTTAAAATTTTTTCAATTTTTTTGTATGTTAGTTTTAAAAATTTTTTCAAATTGAAATATTTTTTTTTCAGAATGCAAAAACTATTAGTATTGTTAACACTTGTAGTGGTGTATGTCAACTGCTGTGACATTCAATTGAGTATAAGGTCGCTAACGCCAAAGCCCTTTCAATTTCAAGTTGAGATACCAGCCTTGAAAAAGAAGACAGATAAGGCTACACTAACACAAGTTAACCAGCAAAAGAAAGTAAAGGTAAGTCAGCATTGGTGAAACTTTTTCTCTTTCTACTCTTCCTTTACCTCTTTCCGCTCTTCCTTTACTCCTTAGGCCAAAAAATCATAGTAAAGTTTCCTTCTCTCCTTTCTCCCCCCCCTCCCCCGTCCTTCTACCGCCTACGCCATTACCAACTTTTCTACCCCTTTAACAATACCATTTCAGATTGACGGCCCAAACTGTGCGAACAAACAATGGATTATAAGAACATTCAAACAAGTTGGTGGTAAATGGGTACCAGCACAACAACATACTGCCAAACTCGACGGTTTTGGACGAGTATTAGTCACGGTAAACGATGACTATTTGCCATTAGTTACAGATCGAATTGGAGTTTCTTGTTCTGAAGGCGTGATTTGTGCTCGAGGATAATTTTTTATGATTTAACGTTGCTATTACTGTATAACCCTTAATAACCTTTTTATTATAAACATACAGTAGAACTCCGGTATAACAAATGTCTCTACAACAAACGTATTATAGCATACTTAGCTTGCTAAGTAAATTAATTTATTGCTTTAAAACTTTAAAAAATAAGGTAGTTTGAATTTTAAAAAGCTATAGCTTCACACTAAGCAAAACATTTTACTACTCCATGTTGTAGTAGTCAATGCCATATAATTCTGCTAATATGTCTACTAAATAAGCGGAAAAATATGTTTATATGTACCACTAGTAATACGTTAATATTAAAACTTTTATATAACTGTAAGCGTTCCACTTCGGCGATGTTCCTAGACAATATAACCGGATCTTTAAAATTTTATACATAAATATAATATCTAATATAAACTTATCCTTTATTCAAAAATCTATTTCTCATTCAAATTGACGTTCTGTTATTCTACTCTATCTAACCCTATTCAAAAACTTTTCGAACACTGTTGTAACACTGACTTCACTATTATATCTTCAACTTCAGGAATTTGATTTTAATCGTCTTGATTTGCAAATTTTAGTTTGCAATCAAAAATTTTTTACTATGTCATTCATTAAACTAACTTTTCTAATAATTATTTCTAATTTGATAACCCTAAAAGCCTGTAAAATAGAACTGAACGTACATTCTTGGTCCAACAATCTTGTTCAGTTTCAAGCTGAAGTACCATCGTTAAGTATACATTCAGAACGTGTACAACTGAGTCGGTTTGGTGATCAACAAAAAATTGTTGCAAGTTTTTTACCATGCCTTTCCATAGCCTTAGATATTGCTGTAGACTTAGCCTGTTTCACTGTCCCTAGCTCTAGCCCTAGTTTAAGCCCTAGCCTAGCCCCAACGCTCACTCTAGCCTTCAACCAAAGCCTTAGCCTGCGCCAAGAGCCTTAGTCTTCGACAAGAGCCCTACCTAGCCTCAACGCTAACTCTAACCTTAACCCAGAGCCCTAGCCTTCGCCGAGCGTTCTGGCTTAAAGCCCTAGCTTAAAAGCCTAGCTATAGCCCTACCCATGCCTTTATAAACATGCTTGCTTTAGATATCCTCTCCCGATTGTACGAACAAAATGTGGACGTTTATAACCTTACGACCGCTTGGAAATGAATTCGTTGTTGCTCACGTTCAAACGGCTAAACTTGATGGTGAAGGCACAGTATCAGTCAACATTAACGACCAATATTACTCATCAATTGGCCATAGATTCGGCGTTACTTGCTCTGAATCGTTGATTTGTTCTAGAGGTTAAAACAACGTATCCTACTCTACCTACCCTACTTCACTCTACCCTACACCACCGTACCCATCCTTGTTATACCTACCGTACTGTACAATAGTAACTTTGTAACTTATTAAACTTTATGAGTTTACCTTTATTGAAACAACATCACAAAATAAATCAAGATCAAACGTGATCATTGAAGAAGTTCAATTGAAAGCCGCTAGGCCTGTTGTTACCCATGTTAAAACCAAACAAGACTCGAGCTTTGTTTTCTTTGACCACATATTCGAATACCAACATCTTTTCTTGTAGTTGAAGGTCATTTACAGTGCAGTTAAAGTATGTTTTCATAAGTTCTGACCAGTTAGATTCTTCGACTTCCTAAAATTAAAAAAAAATTTTTGTGTTACCCACCTTACCATATCCTACTATACTCTACTCTACAGTACCTTACCTTCCTCTACTCTACCCTTCTTTGCTATACTTGTGTTACCCACCTTACCATATCCCACTCTACTCTACCTTACTCCACTCTACCTTACCTTACCTTACCTTACCTTATCCTACCCTATCCTATTCTATCCTGCTCTATACTTCCCCTTACATTTATCTTGTCCTACCTTTGTCTTTATCCCATCCTGTCTTACACTATGTTTTACCTTGTATTATAACATAAGAAATTCTACCTTACAATATGCACCTCTTTACAATAAAAAAAAAGTATTTTACCTTCTCATCCACCACCAAATCGACAATTAAAGTAGATGTTCTAATCTCCATTTTGCCCTCCAAAAACGCTTCGAAAATCCCATTTAAATTTTGCCTTAAGGTATCAAATTCGGCCTCAATATCTCTCGTAACTTCATTTGTCGATTCACAATATAATCCTAAAGGTTCGTCGATGTAACGATATTCCTTCAGGATATTAACACATTTTTTGTAGAATTCAATTGGATTCTTATGCCTATTCAGAGGATCGATGTAGATACGCTGGAGTTTGTGAAGAGATCGAACAGCTGACTCGGTGAATGGTTCTGCGATATATGGAAGGTCTTCCAAGAATTTAATCTAGAATTTAGGTTTTAGGAAGTTAGAAGATAATTAACCTTATCTCACTTTACCATACCCATCACTACTTTACCTTACCCTACCCTACCTTACCCTGCCTTACCTTACCCTACCTCACTATACCCTACCCAATCACGCCTAGACATAATAAAGAGGCCTAGACTTGAATGTTAGGCCCGGCCCGATCAAAGTTTTGCTCAAGCCCGGCCTGGTCCAAATTTGTTTAAACGTGGAAACGAGCCGAGCCTTTCCGGGATTTCCAAACCTTGGCCCGACCAAAATTTTGCTCAGGTCCGGCCCGTTCTCTATGTCTAACTACCCTACCAAACCCTACTCTACCATACCCTAACCTACCCTACCTTATTTCATACCACCCCTTAATTTTATCCTGGCCTACTATACCTTACCCTATCGTACCCATTACTTTTGTCCTAATCTACCTTGCTCTACCCCTGATCTTTACCTTACCTTATCTTACGGTATGCCTCGCCCTACGTCATAAAATAATCTGCTGTACCCTTATAGTATGCTTTACCCAGCCGTAAATTATAGTTTACCTTGCCACTTCTACCCTATATGGCCCACTCTACCCTATTCTACTTCTTACTTCCTTTCTGACTAACCACTTATCTTTACCTACTATACAATACATACAGCACGCCTTACCCTACGTCGTTAGAGCATAATCTACTCTACCCTACAAAATGCTCTACTGTGTCCTAAAATGTGCTCTTCTACCCTAACAATCTTAACCTTTTTCACCTTCTCCATCCAAACCACCTTGCATACCATCACCCCCTCCCTCACATCCTTATATCAATCCCACACTCAAACAATAACAACAGTAGTAAAACATTACCTGCAACGTAGTAGAAGTAAGATCAATAAAACTTCTAACCGGATATTGATCATTTGTGTAAAATGCTTGTTTTTTCGGAATTGGCACAGTAAATGGTCTTGAATCAAATATCATTCTAATATGAACTACAACAACTAGACCTTCAACATTGTAGTCAAAGGTAAATGTGTTTGTATCCACAGAATCTGTGTTCACATATCGTTGAATTATCTTTTCGAAATCAAAGCTTTGGGGGCGTTTCTAAAGAAAAAAGTTTTTTAATTGAACTCCCCCCCCCCTTTATAATCAAATTAAAAAATTTTTTTTGCTCGTTTTGGTTTCACCCGTCCCCACTCCTGCTCCACCCCCCCCCTTTTTTTAAATAAAATTACTAGTAGCACGTCTTAAAACAATAACATTCAACTTACACTGTAATCGAAGTACCATTCAGTATGATAAACAAAAAATTGTAGAGGCAGTTCCGCTGCTTTTGAAGCCCGAACAACTGATCTTATTGACGTTAATAAGGTCTTTATTTCATTGTCAAGGTCTTTGGTGGACTGAAAACAGAAGTAAGCTTGACTGTCTGTATAGGCACCATCAGAAAGCAATTGTTTTTACTATTATATAAGAGGCATGAGTGTTATAATATGTTTTAGTGAATAAATAGCTCCAAAAAAGTTTTTTTTGCCTTTTACTCCACCGTGTCTTAACCAACCCTACCTTACCTTACTTTACGTTAACTTACTGTACCATACTGTATCTTAATCTACGCTACGCTACCCTACCCTACCCTACCCTACCCTACCCTACCCTACCCTACCCTACCCCACCCTACCCTGCCCTACCCTACCCTACCCTACCCTACCCTACCCTACCCTACCCTACCCTACCCTACCCTACCCTACCCTACCCTACCCTACCCTACCCTATTCTACCCTACCCTATCCTACTCTACTCTACAGTATACTCTACCCTATTAAATCTTTCTCTACATTACCCTACCCTATCTTGCCTTACTCAACGTTACCCTGACCGGCTGTGTTCTAGTTTTACCATGCCTTACCTTAAAATTACTGTGCCCTACTCGAGCGTTATCATGCCCTATTTAAACGTTAGCATGCCCGACCAACCCAACCCTACTTTATGTTACCTACCCTACCTATAAATAAGTAAAATATCGTCTTTTGTTATTAAAATATAAGATAGGAACATCTAATAATTACTCTATAGTGAAACCTACTATAAAATCTAAGCAAATCTTAAAAAAATAACTTACATGAGTAGTAATCCTGACCTTATGACCTCCTTCGATTGTTAAAACTTTAACATTCTCATTACTCTTCTTTAAATTCTCAAAGCACCTAACATAATATTCTTCATCGACACTACCCAAGTACGTATCAACAGACACAGAACCATTCAAACTGTCAATGACAAGCTTATTATCTTCCAATTCAAAAAAGTCATCCAACTTAACATCTTCTCTATACCTCCATTCAGAACACTTCATTTCGGCTCGAAAAGGTGTGACCTGGTTATGCAAATTAGTAGGTATAAAGGTTGGAAGTTGTAGAGAGATCAAGTGGGTTTCTTGAGAGTTGAGAACATAACCATAACGACCCAGATGTTCCCGGTAAACAAGGTGTACAGAGTTTTCAAATAGTGTCGAGGGATCGGCTTCAACAATTGCCTAAAATACATTTTTAGTAATTGTTAATATAATAGCTTACCTTACCGTATTTTATCGTACTTCACTCTCCCGTAATCTCTTCTACTTTTCTCTACTTCATCTTACCCTACCCTACCCTATTTTACCCTACCTTAACTTACCGTACACCACCCCCTACTCTACCCTACCCTGCCAACCCCTACTCTACTCTACGCGACCTTAAACCAACTAACCGTACTGCACTCTACCGTACCCTTACCGTGCTATACTTACATTACCCTACCCTCCTCTACTGTACTCTGTTCCAATTTGCTTTAAATTTTATTATAATACCGCTTCCTTAGTCACATTACTATGAATAACCGTACCTAACATTGTTCTTTGGCCATTAACATAGTCTACTCATGACAGTCATTTACCTAGGTCTATCATTAGTTTTAACTCTAGTCTTAGCCTTAACTCTAGCCTTATACCTAAAGTCGTACCCGTCGCAATCTTTTAGCTATTATCATACGTATAAAACCTACATTATAAGGAAAAGCAAGTCGTATATCAGCAAAAAAGTGATCGATAGTAATGTCATACTCTTTAGCAGCCTGACAAATGCCTTGATAGGCTTTAGTAATGTTTTCAATTTCATCTAACCAGTCTTCTGTTGTCTGAAAATGCATTTATCCTTATAATATCAAAAGCCTAAGCCTGAGCTTTAGCCTAACAACATAAAAAGCATATAAACCCTTTTTTTACAAAATAAAACTTCAAACTCACACCATTCATACACCCGTACATGTATCCACCATTCAGTGTAACAGAAGTCAAATTTGGAACACATTTTTTTAAATTTTCAAAAATTTTTCTGTAAAACACGACGAAACCTTCAGTATAAGACGGAAATAAGGTTACGTTGAGCCCAATAATCTTGCAAATACCAACTTCTTTATCAAGATCTGTAGCATCGTGAAAGTACTCAAATGGTCTGTACTTAATACGTTGAAATAGGTAGTCGTAGCTTAAGTTTACTGTGTCTTTGTTGGTGTTGAAGGCTGAAAGTACAGTAGTTAAACAATATACGGTAAAATGGCCTAAAATAAAAATTTACTGAGATTAACATAAGGCTCAAACTAGGTCTTGAACAAGAGCTAGGAAGAGGGCTAAGGCTACGGCTGAAGCTAGACATGGGACTAAGACTAGGGCTAACGTTAAACCTAGAGCTAGGGTTAAGACTAGGGCTGAGACTACGGGTAACCTAGAACTAAGGCTAAGACTAGGGCTGGGGCTAGGGTTAACCCTAGAGCTAAGGCTAAGACTAGGGCTGAGGCTAGGGTTAACCCTACGCTAAGGCTAAAGTTAGGGTTGGGTCTAAAGTTAAGCCTAGAGCTAGAGTTAAGCTTAGACTTGAGGCCAGAGACAGGGTTCGAGCTGAAGCTAGAGCCAAAGCTAGTGATAAGCCTAAGGCTATGGCAAAGGCTAGAACTAGGGCTAAAGCTGAGGCTATAGCCAGAACTAAGGTCTAATATTAAAGGCAGGGCTAGCGCTAAAGCTAGACCTAAGCTCGTAAAAAGCAAAAAAAATCCACCCCTTAACCTAAAATAAACCTTTCTAGCATTGAAATATTCTAAAATCAATGTAAAATACGACGCAATGACATACATATAAATAAAGCAACTTACCTTTCATAGCTCTACTATAAGGCTAAATTTAAAAACAATAGATCAAGAATAGCTATGATAATATAGAAAAATACCCACAAAGTATAAATTTAACAGAAGGATTAGAAGCAATATAGAAATAAATTTAGATATCAAGCAAATTCACAGCGTTTGACTATATTTTCAAACGTTTTGAGTTATATCTCAAACGTTGTTCATGCTATTGAAAACATTAAAAGAAGGTGGAACACCTGACATTTTATAAAGCTCATGAACTTTTTACGTAAAACGTTCGAAAAACATTACTCACACGTAACAAAACAGTATTTTAGTTTTAAGAAGCTAAAATAATATACGAATTATATAGAAAATGGCAAGATTTGGACAAAACTTTGTTTACTAAGTTTAAAATGGCGCGAACTTTCTTTACAAAGCACAAAACTGCAATAACTTACTTTGCAAACAATAAAATTGGAATAACTTACTTTACAAACATCAAAATTGCAATAACTTACTTTACAAACCATAAAACGGCAAGAACTTTCTTTACAAACCACAAAATTGCAAGAACTTTCTTTACAAACCATGAAGGGGCAATAACTTTCTTTACAAAAAATAAATGGCAATAACTTACTTTACAATCCATAAAATGGCAAGAACTTTCTTTAGACTATTCTTCAGCTTCAGACTTCTGTAGACATCAACTTTCCTCCGCTGAAACAAAAAATCACAAAATCGAGAACGAAATGTCAAAACTTTGAAAATCGGAAAAAAATAATTTTGATCGCCTTTTGAGGTAATGTTTCTTATTTGTGAGTTACATGGTTTAACTGGATTTGTAAATGATATTTAAAGCCTGTTTAAGATTATTGTTTTTTATTCTTTTAGTATTCTTTATTTTGCTACCTATTTTTATGTTTTTCACTTGCTTTTTGAGTTTTAAACGAATTGCTTATCAAATATATGAGGTTTTTGCAAAATTTGCTTTATTTTAGGATGGATAATGTTCTTTTTTGATAGAATTATAGAAAACATGTTTGAAGAAGCGGCTAATTTACCAAATTACAATAATATTGTACTAAGAAGAATAGTTATTTATTTTATATTTTTTGTCTGTTTTTAGGTAACAAACGGATAAAGCATGTTGATTATGTTTTTTTAGGAAATTGTTTTGAACAACGGGCTGAACAGATAGAATACAGCCAAAAAAACCGTCGAAGGTAAGTTTATCTTATGTTTTTGTTGATTTTTAGGTAATTAGGTATCAAACGCATTCACTTAAATGGCAAGAACTTTCTTTACAAATAATATAACGGCAAGAACTTTTTTAAAAGCAAAAAATAGCAAGAATCGTATATACAAAGTATAAAATCGCAAGGACTTTCTTTACAGACCATAATATGGCAAAAATTTCGTTTACAATCTAAAAAATGGCAAGGACTTTGGTCAAAATCTATAAAATGACAAAAACTTTCTTTACAAAGCGTAAAATGGCTATCCTTACAAAACGATGCAAAGAACTTTTTAAAATTTCGAATTTTGAGCAATTTTCAATTTGATAACATTTTTTACCGAGTATGGTCGTGATTTTAGTATTTCTGTTGAGCATTACCTTTATTCAAGCTCAAAATGAAGTTTTCATTTCGTTGGATGCGCAATGTAAATTATCGGTTTCACCTTCTTCTGATAACGAGCCCGGGTATGTTACTGTTATACCTATATCATTTCTTTATTTTTTTGAATTTTTTACGTTAGTAAGGTAAAATATATTATGGTTGGGTAAGTTATGATAGGGTATGGCAAAAAAGGGCAGGATGTGGTTGAGTAGGATAAGGTAGAGTCGTGTAGGGTAGGGTTAGGTAGTAAAAGGTATGGTATCTTAACTATATGTTAAGGTAATGTTATGAACTCCCATTTTTCAGGCATTGCTCCAAAATCACGTCGGTTAACATCGATGAAACGACATTTCTGGTGTTGCGAGTAAAAGACGCATCCACTTTGGAATATGCGACTGTTTTCATGTCACAACAGATGATTTCACTGCTGGAGGCGAGCCCAATTCAATTACACTTTGAACAACACGATTTTAAACATGGTAAGAGCCAAAATTTTATGTAACACACTAATTTTATGTTATGGTACGTCTAAATTCATCCTACTTTGCTTTTTTTGAAGTCTAAAACCATGCCTTTTCAGCCCTCCGAACTGACTGCGTTTTTCAATCCGAAACTTTCAATGCGTTTGTAGACGATCGAGTCCTGTACGTTTGGGCATCATGTGGGCTGAACCTCGGCCTAGTCAGAACCATAATTCACAAGACTCGAATCCTTGTCACACCGCCAGTACCACCAATATACGTGAATGCGGAAACGGACAGTAACTTTTCGACCGTTGGATTCACTGACTTTGTTCGTCATTTCGCTCCAGAACAAGTGGATTCGAATACGATCATCTATGAAAGTATGAAAGACTCTGAGAAGTCAGTGATAACCAAGTATTTACATGATGTCAATGTGTCTTATCCAACGCCATACAAGTTCAAATCGTTCTATGTGGTTGGCTTTGATCCGATGGATAAGTTGGTGTACTGCGCGGTCAATGAATTCGACAATGGCAATGTATCGTTCTATGTGGCTGACGTAGAAACTGGCGATTTTAACTATGATGGTAAGGCTTTTAGTTTTTTGAAGTTTATAACAGGGCTGGGCGGAAAAAAAAAATTTTGTTTCGCGAAACACGAAACGAAAGTAAATTATTTTCGCGCGAAACGAAACACGAAACGAAACAAAATTTACGAATTTATTAAAAAATCTTCATAAAAATCAAATTTTATGCCGTAAATGGGTATTAACCTTAAGGAATAACAAGTTCTGAAGCATCTCACTTGTCATGCTTCTTCGATAGTCAGTCAAAACAGTCCTTGCTGTCGAATTTTGATGTGGTTTATTACAAAAAGAATGTAACCTTTCCTATAAACCGAAATACTTGTTTCAAAAGACTTACATTATCCAGAATATTACGCTCTTTCTTTGCTGGTGCCCCGTCCGCTACAATTTCTTTCCATACGTCCGGGTGTTTCTGTATTAAATGGTGCCGGAAAGAGCTAGTTGAGGAATGATTTGTTGTGTTTCGCACTTTTGCCTTACATGTTATACAGACTCCTTCGTTAAAAAAGGGATTGTATTTCGGCATTTGTTTATGCCAAAATATGTTTAAAATTAAAATAAAAACAATTTCCAACAGTATAAAACAGAATGCCAAAAATTTTTAACATTTGTTGGTTTTCGGGTTGAGAAATATTTTTTTTTGTTTCGTTTCCGAAACAAAATTTGTTTCGCGAATCACGAAACGAAAGTGCCTCTTTCGCGCGAAACGAAACACGAAACGAAATTTTCGCCCAGCCCTGGTTTATAATGTAGGTTTACAGGGAGAGAGGGAGATTATCACTGTTTGTCTATAAGGACTAGGGTGTGGATTTGAAAAAGAAGGTTAGTGTAAGAGTTAGGAAAAAGGAGGGTAGGAGTTTGAAAAAGAATGGCTAGGGTAATGGTTTGAAAAAAGTAAACTAGTTAGGGTAGCTCACATCATGCCAAAATAAAAGAAAAATGGAACTAAGGTGGCCGTGGCATTTCGTTAACTCAAAAGTCTCAAATATTGATTCAAAAAATAAATATTTAAAATGTTGAACGAAACGTGTGAAATTATCAAATAATAGTTAAAATAAATCAAATTTTGAGCTGTAACAAATATTAAAAAATTCGCTATGTTTCGACGGTTCTTTGAAGGCCAAACTAGTCTTGATCGTCAAAGAATCGTCCAGATATGACTGACACTACAAGTTTACCACAAACGAATTTCATTTTCAAAATTCCGACCGCTTAATTTCAAACAATTTTTTACAAAAAATAGAATTTCACACTTCGCATCGTTTTTTACACGAAATGTCACTCTGTCTTTATTTCCTCTTTTGGCATGAGCTATAGCTGTTAAGTCAGAGGCTTCAATGTAAAACGGTAATGTAAGAGACTGTAGAGCAGGGACTAGAGAAGGAGCTTGGATAGGGTAAAGATCGAATAGTGCTAGGTTAGAAAAGGGTAATTAACGTTATACTAGGGTAGGGTAAGGTAAGGTAAGGTAAGGTAAGGTAAGGTAAGGTAAGGTAAGGTAAGGTAAGGTAAGATAAGGTAAGGTAATGTAAGGTTAGGTAAGGTAGTGTAGGGTAGATTGAGGTGAAGTAAGATAAGGTACGGTAGAGTAGCACAGGATAGAGGAGAGAACTGTAAGGGATCAGACAGTAGAAATTGAGTTTTTATTTCAAATGCTAAACTTTTCAGCTAAAACCAAACCAAGATCAGCCGCATTTACCTACTTTTACAGCCCACATATAGCACAAGAGCATGTTACAGCTGAGTATAAGTGGATCAGTCATTACCTTGTCAACGATGACATTAATAATGTAAGTCTTTTTTTTTCTCTGTTGCTCTACCTTTTATGTTCTTACTTTATCTTACCATACCCTACTATACCTTACCTTACTATGCGCTAACCTACCCTACCTTAACCTTATCTACCTTACTATACTTTTTATCTTACTCTACGTTATTTTACCTTTCTGTGCCTTACTCACCTACTTTACTTTATCTTATCCTACTCTATCTTACATGATTTCACCATGACTTACTCCATCTTACCCTACTATTTTTACTGTATATTAATAATGCAATTGTTTTAGCACTACACCCAGCCAATGGAAACGATAATAGAAAACTGTGTTACAGTGGCAAAACGGTAAGAATCAAATTTTGACTATCTACTGTAATGTTCTTTTAGAAAAAAGGATATAATTGGGGTAATCGTCGTGTTCATAATGATTGCACTATCATTGGTCATTCTTACTGTAGCCGGCTTCGCTTTAGGCGTGTTGATTAGGAAAAGGGACGCTTTGAAGGTAAGTTGTGACATTTTGAAGGTTTTACATTGTTTGAGAGGGATGGGTTTGTATGGATTTTTCGGCAGGTGGGGTAGATAAAAAAAGGGGGTGGGGTGTAGGGTTGATTTTTTTAAAATTTATTTTTAGGCATAACTGAAAGAATAGAAGCTAGATTAACACACAATGTCACATATGATCACTGTTGTCTATACAATTTCACTGGAGTACAAATTTCAAATTGTATGGTCTATGTATTCAATACAAGATCAATATGTTGAATTTGGAATAAAGTCTTTAAACCAAGCTTTTGGAATTTTAACAATTTTTTTTTAAATTTTGGTTTTTTATCTTTATTATCTACTGGGCTTTGATGGCATGGATAATATCAAAATCTTTGAAGTTTTTTTAAATTAAAAGTTGGTTATTGAAGCCAATATAGTTTTTAGGTAATCTTTGTGGTCTTCAGCATCTTTTAAAATTAGAAACTTTTTGTTTTTTGTCCTACAGATTAAAATATTGATATTGACAACAGATGATCATAATATCAAGACCTTGATGGTGGTCGTTGCCGATGGTTTTTACATTGATAAATGATTTCACTAGATGAAGATAAGTCTTGTCGTCGGATCGTTATTTAAGTTTGAAAATATTAGCTAGTTTTGTTTAGAATTAGTAAATATTCACTAAAATGCAAGATGTGTCATGGATAATATAAGAATATTTGTTAAACCTTGAAATTAGGTTTTATTTGATCAAAAATGTTTTTTTGTATACCTTATTTGATCGGTAATGATCTTTTTATGTTATGCTTGATAAGTGTTTAGCTCGATTTTGTTATACTGAAAAAAAAGTTTTTTTCAAAAATTTTGAAATTTCAAACCCTCAATTTTTAAATTTGAATTTTTCATTGTTTGATATTTCTGTCACGAAAAATGGTTGCCATCTTGAGTTGGGCTCTGTTTTGTTTTCTAATCTTGAATTGCAAAGGAGATGACTTGAGCTTGATTTCGTTGAATTCAAATTGTCAGTTGATGGAAAAATGTAACGCAACGGATGTTGTTGGGTATGTTTACAGTTTATCAGTTTATTTACTAGCTCAACTATCAAATATTTTAAAAAAAGATATTTTTTTTGAAAAAAAAATTTTTAGCTAAAAAAATTTTTTTGGATTTTAAAATGTTTAAGGTAACCTTGGTATTTTAGACCGTGCAGTCAAGCCAGAATTGTTTTTGTTGATGGTATTACGTTTCTTGTGATGAAGGTGAAAGATTCCTTTACTCTCGACTATGCTACCGTTACTTTGATCAGTTATATTGGTGAAGCTGTGAAGAATAGGCCATTGAATGTCACCTTCAGAAGCCATGACTTTCGACCGGGTAAGTGGGATAGAGTCAGATAGTGTAAAATCGTCAAACTTTTTTTTACTTAAATTTTTTTTATTTTGAAAAATCATTATCATCTACCCTAATTCTACTATTCTCGTTTGTCATATTAGGCTGAACCAAAGGTAGCGCGACACACTCTATTTATAGTTCAACTGCAAAGTGTCCCGCTACTTTTGGTTCAATTTATTAGTGGCGCGGGGTAAGGTAGAGTAGGGTAAAGTAAGGCGTGAAAAAAATGAATTTAGCAATTTCACATGCTTATTAGTCATAGAAAATGCATTTAGATTAATTTTTAAAAATATTGAAAAAAATTTTTTTTTGATTTTTAAAAAAAATTTCACAGGGGGACCCTGTTAACTAAAATAAATTTTTGTCCATTTCTTACATTTTAATTTTTTAAAAGTTTTTAATAAATATAATATTTTAGTACTATAAAATTCATATTTTCAGTACTAAAAGACCACTGCCATTTCACCCCCACCACCTTCAACGCCTTCATCGACAAGGAGGTGTTATACATGACAGCCATTTGTGGTGATCATCTAGCCTTCATTCGTACCGCAATGTACAGAACTCGCTCCCTATACACACCGACCGTCAACCTCCTCTACACCAATATGGAAGTAGCCAAGACGGTATCATTCATTGGAGAGACGTCGTATGTAAAAGTTCCCAATACAGGTAACGATGCAGAATCACAGATCTTCGAATCAAATGGCGCAGAAGTCATGGTGCAAAGACGATCGCTTCAGAATGTGAATACGACCGTGCCGGCATACATGACTGACACTCTATTTGAGTTATTCTATGTTTGTGGATTTGTTAGAGATGACTCCAAACTTTTGGTCTGCGTGCATGTGGATGACAATGTCAATGTGTACACACAAAAGGTTGACAATACAACAAATCCAATGACAAAATTAGGTAAGGAGTTATATATGTTAGGGTAGGATAGGGGTACTGTATAGTTTAGGATAAGTTAGGGTTGGGTAGAGTGCGTTAGGGAAGGGTAGGGTAGAATAGCGTTGGGTACAGTCAAGTAGGGTACGGTAGAGTAGGGTAAGGTGGGGTAGGGTAGGGCAGAATAAACTAGAACTAGGTAAGGTAGAGTGGAGTAAGGCGGGGTAGATTAGAATAGGGTAAAATGAAGTAGAGTAGGGCGGATTACGGTAAAGGAAGATGCGATAAAGTAACGTACAGTACAGTAGGGTAGGGTAGGCTTGAGTAGAGTACGGTAGAGAAGGGTAAGTTGATGTAGAGTAGGGTAGGGTACGGTAGGCTAGAGTAGACTAGAGTAGAGTAGAGTACGGTAGAAAAGGGAAAGGTGATGTAGGTTATGGTAAAGTAGGGTAGGGTAGGGTACATTTTTAAAATTTTTATTGAATTTTAGATGTTAATGTCAGTAGAAACTGTACTTACTTTACTTATGTTGGCGATTTGCTTCCGTATGTTTTTCCGATGGACTTTATATGGCTTGATCACTACCTTGTTAATGATGCAAGTCAAAATGTAAGGGTTTTTTTGATTTTTAAAAAGTTTAGGAGACTAGAAAGAAAAACTACATGTATTATAGCTATAGTAATGTAAATCTAATAAACATTTTTCAGCGTAACAACGAAAAGATTTTTGAAGCGGCCAAGGTTTGTATGGACACTACGAGAATGTGAGCTTTTACTATTCTTTTCAATGTTTTTTCTTTTCTCTGTTGTGTCTGATAATAATAATAAGACTACTTCTACTCTTACCCATACCCCTTTCAGAAAAACCAAGATTATAAGAATATTTGCAACGGTGATTGTGGCAGAGCTGGTCATCATCATTATCAGTGTTACCGTCTTTTCAGCTTGTGTCGATAAGAAGAAAAGGTCGGAATTGAAGAAAGGTAAGTTTAAATTAGGAGTTAATGTAAACTAGGGTAGGTTAAGGTAAGGTATAATAGGGTAGGTTAAGGTAGAATAGAATAGGGTAGATTAAGGTAGATAAAACAAGGCAGGTTAAGGTAGATAGAATAGGGTAGGTTAAAGTAGGATAGAATAGGGTTGGGCAAGTTAGAACAGAGTGGGGCAAGGTGCGTTAGTATATGATAGGACAAGGCAGGGTAGGGTAAACTAAGATATAATCCGGTAGGATAAAATGTCTTGGTGTATGATTGTTTTTGACTAATATGTATTTGTCTCATTTTAGGTAACAAGAATGATTGAACAACTTTTGATGCACTAGTGGTCTACCTATGTCAATACCCGATCTCTTTGCCGTATCTACTACTGGTCTTATCATCGTCGCCTCTTCTTCTTTTTAACTTTTTTTATAATACAGGCATTAAAGTAATGATAGAATAAATATGAAATATGGTTTTTGTTGGCATTTTTAACATAAGTTGTTTACGAAATGTCACAGAAGTTATTGGAAAACTTCCAAGTATATTACTATAGTTCATTGAGTTACAAATGCTTTAAAATTTACGTTTAAAATGTTGTACTAATGTCTTTTAACTTGTTATGGTACTATCTTTTAACAAAACTTCAATCTTTAATTGATGCAACGAAATGTCACAAAAGTTATTGGAAAATGTCCAAGTGTAATATTATAGTTTATAATGTTAAAAATGCTTTAGAATTTACGTTTAATCAATTATAATACTGTATTTTGGTTTTGTATAACGCTATCTTCTGAGAAGCCGTCAATTTTTAGTCAATGCAACGAAATGTCACAAAATTTAAATTTTAAATTTTTGGTCGATTTTCACTACTCTTGTTGGGTCCAATATTCAACGATCGCACCCCTTCTGTAACTGCCTCTTGAGTAATGCTGGCCACAAGTTCTCCAGAACGAGTCCAAATTCTGTTGTGGGTTACTGCACGGCCTAATGTGTACATAATACATTCACCTTCCCATAGCAAATAGTCGTCGGTGGTGAAACTGAAAATTATTTTAATACTGTAACTAAAATGGTCATTTTTTCAACGTTTTTTAACTGTGTAGCCATTTTTATGCTGACTAATAGAGAGTTTATCGGTTTTGGCAATTTTATTAGAAAATGCAACGAAATGTCACAAAATTATTGAGAAATGCGAAGGTGTAATATTATAGTTTATAGTGCTACAAATGCTGTAAAATTTATAATTAAACTAGTTTTTAATACTATCTTTTGATAAATCTTTAATTTCCAATCAATGTAACGAAATGTCACAAAACTTATTGGAAAATAAAAATTTTAGAATTTGCACAAATTTTGCAAAATAAATCTAAAAACTTGATTTTCAACAACTTTTTTGACGCAATTTGAGTTTTTAGCCAATGTAACGAAATGTCACACAATTTATCGGAAATTTTAATTTTCAAAAATTTGCAAAAAAAACTTTTTGGAAATTAAAAAACCGGTAAGTTATAGTAAAGCAAACTTACTTCACATCATGAATCCATCCAGAATGGTCTAACGACCCCAGTAATCTAAAGGTATTCACCTGATCACTTGTTTTTGAATAGGTTAGGCCAATATCACTAACGTAGGTCAAGATAAGTTGGTGAATGAAATTGGTTTTTGACTCTGTAATATGCCATTTGTACTTTCTAATTATATTTTTAGTTATGAAATGTTAAATTAGCTGTATGTACTACTAGACCCACCTGTTCCCTTGTACTTGAACCAGAAATGTTGTTTTAGCACCTCTCTTTGGGGTCCCGCAACGAATTCAATATTGTTGCAGGGAATGATTTCGAAATTTTTCAAAAGTTCCGAAAAGACTGGTAAAATAGCTTGGAACTTGTTGAAACCAAACCGCGGCAAATCTTCCAAAATTGACTCAAACGAACGCAAACGTTCTGGTTGTGGAACGACTGGAACGTTGACTTGGGTGAATTTTAATGAAGGCTGGACTGCTCGCTAAAAAGATGGGATAAGATAATTGTAAGGCAAGGCAAAAGTGAAATGTTATTGTACGATTAGGTGGTGTAGGGTAAGGCTAGAGTTATATTAGCTATGCAGAGCAAGGTGGGACTAGTTGGAGTTGAGTAGGGCTAGGTGAAGTAGGGTAGTGTAGAGCTTAAGCTAGCTCAAACAGCACTCATGGAAAGAGATTTGAACTAGGGCTAGTTCAATATTAAACTCACTTTCTTGAAAGTAAACTCAAAATGATAGTAAACATCTTCATTGTGCAAGTTTTTATCCTTCTGAATCAATCTTACTGATCTGAAGGCAAAGTTTCTTCCATTTCTAGTCTTTTCAACCGCAAACCTGTAGGGTTGGGAAGTGTCTACTGAAAAAAAACAAAGATTTATTATATTTGGTAGAGTTAAAGTAATGTATGGCTAGAGTCAGAGTTTGTCCAGGGTAGGGCTGTGATAATCTTAAGGTGGGACTAGTTGGAATAACAGGAGGGTTAATTAATGCGGCTAGGAAAAGGCTATTGTTGAAATACTTTAAGGCTAGTATAAAACTAATGTAGTAAGGCTTTGGTAGGAACTAATGTAAAGATGTAATAAAGTATTGATTGAGCAATGATAAGGCTATTACAAGACTAAAGTAAAGCCAATAAAGTGCTTGAATAAAGCTATAGTAATTCAGCTAAGACAAGGCTACTACAGCTAAGGCTATTACATATAGGAGGCAAGACTGGAGTAAGACTAATGTAGAGCTACTATAAAGAAGGGGTTAAACTTACAATTTTTAACAAAATAACTATGAAAACTGTTCAAATCAAAGCTGCTGTCGACTGTCTTCTGGGCACAATAAACTGCTTTTGCTATTAAACTGCCAAGATAAACTCTAGGTTCACGAATGCTGGATAAAGGCGGTACTCTAAAAAAGATTTTTCTTTAATTTAAAGTTTAAATTTAAAGTTTAAATTTAATGACCAGATTTCAAAAACAGCTAGCTTGGGTTAACAACGTACGTATAAGTGATCTCATTAACTTGTGTTACATCTTGGTATAAAGTCATTTTATTACTTTTTTGAATGCTTTAACGAAAAGGTACAGTTCCTTCAATAATTCAGAGAAAAATACAGGTATTTACTGTAGTTAAATTTAGAAAGCTTAAAATTTATGTTAGTTTAGTTAAAAATGTCATACAAAGTTGGTTTTAAAGGTAGTGTAAGTTAAAATATAAGCAAATTAAGTATACGAATAAAAATTTGTGTTAACAAAGGTTAACATAAAGAGCGACGAGAATAAAGGAAAAGTGCTACAACACTTGTAGTCCGTCATACTTTAATGTCTAAATTAATTGTTGAGCTGAATTATGGAACAATACTTTAACTTTTTGTGATTAAGAGTACCATCTTTACGTACTCTGTGTGTACGTAGTCAATAATTTGTCAAAAGCGAGTAATCTTTATTAAAAAGAGGAAGTAATGTAGGGGGTTGGGTAGATGAATGTAGGGTAGATGGAGGTAACAATGTATAGATAAAACTCAATGACAGTAGATAAGAATAGGCGTAGGTCAGGGTAGTTGAGGGTAGGTAAAGGTAAGTGACGAGCAGCTGAGGGTAAGTGAAAGTGGATGAGTTTAGATGAGGGTAGGTGCAGGTGTGTGAAGGTAGATGAGGGTACATGAGAATGAATGAGGGTAGGTGAGGGTGAATGAGGGTAGGTGAGGATAGAGTAGGGTGAAATTTAATAACATTTTTGAGAAATAAAAGATTTTTTAAAATAATTGTGGGGGGAGGGTCAATGAACAATTTAAAATTCAAAGTAAACAAAAATGAAACTTGAAATTACATGCATTACATCTGACATGGCTTATCATTGAAATTTAAAAATTATCAAACAATTATTACAACTGATAAACAATTAAATAAGTTTTAAAACGCAATTTGTCAAGGAAAGACAACATTAAGGTTGTTTAAAATTAGTTTCTAGAAGCTTTTTAAGGCTTAGTATTTACGACAGAATTTGTTTACTGTAAGTAGTTGTAAATTAATATTTTTTGTGTTTTTTAAAAGTTTTTTTGGTTGCACTTTTGTCTATGACATGCCCAACATGATGTGGGGTCTTATGATACAAAATAGATGACTCTAAACCTACACTTAAATCAACTGCCAATTCTAATACAGTTTCGACTTTTTTCAACTCTAGCCCTAGCTCAAAGCCCCAGCTTAGAAACCTAGCCCAGAGCCCTAGCCCAGAGCCCTAGCCCAGAGCTTTAGCCCAGAGTCCTAGCCCAGAGCCCTAGCCCAGAGCTCTAGCCCAGAGCCCTAGCCCAGGGCCCTAACCCTAACCAAGAGCACTAGTTCCGAGTTTTAACCCTAGTTCTAGCTAGACCCTTAACACTATATTTAGCTCTATCTTTAGCTATAGATTTAGTTCGATTGCTCTAGCCCTAACACTAGTTTTAATGCTAGTTCTAGCCTTAGCTCTAACCCTGTCTTTAGCTCTTATCACAGGTTTAGCTCTAGATTTAATTATGACTTTAATAGTATCTTTAGGTCTATTTCGCGTAGGCCTACTTTAATTTTAATTTTTGAGTTTTCTTTACATTATCTATTCGTTTTAGCGCCTACTCCATCTTACCCAACATTTTTTGCGTGCATGGTTAGTCTCTGCCTTTATTTTTTAATCTCAAAGCAATTCTTCATTCAAGAATTTTACTGTACTATTTTAACTACCGTAATTACACATCATAACAAGTAGTTGCAACTTATAATTCTATACATATATATATATATGTTTACAGCTCAATTAGCGTCCGTTTGTTTGTTCACATGAAATTCACACTCTTATTAAAACCCTTTAGTCTGCAAACGAATGTACCTGTGGGCAAAAAACTTTCATTTCCAGACGGCTTTTTCGAGGCTATTCAGGGCCGCAAAGAACGTTCCAAAAATATACACCGTGATAGCTGAACAGGGAATTAGAGGTTCGTTAAGGGCGTGTAAAGTGTTCGCTCGTGTCTAATTTGATAAAATATTTTTTCGATTATGATTGTGTTAGATGTAAAGCTGTCTAATGAATGTAGTCGGTTGACTTGAAAAAGCCGGCTGTTTGTAAAGTGGCTAGTTTTTTGGTGTTTCAGGGAAGTAAAAGTTTCTGTGACGAGGGTTTGTATTCAGTAATGTTTAGAAATGTTATGAAAATGTAACTTTTTTTAATTTTGTTTTTTAGGGCTATTTCTAGCCTTACTAGTTGTAAGTTTAACTTGGATTTAGCTGTTGTTTTTAGCCCTAGCTTTAATCTTAGGCTTAGTCTCAGTTTATGCGTTAGCCTTAGCTCGGATCTTATCTAAAGCCCAACCTTGAATTTGGGCTTCATTTAAAGCTTGCGGGCCTGAGCTTAATCTTGGCCCTATGTCCTAGCGTTAGCCGTAGCCTTAGCCTTAGGGTTACTGTTAGCTTTAGTTTAAAATTCAGTCTTACTCTTGGGCTTCGTCTTATCTACTGTCTTTTTAAAATGTAATGAATTTTAATTTGAAACACATTACAAATTGCCGTTGACCGATTTGACCATGTAATTAAAAGTATCTAAACCAAAGTAAGCAGTCGACTTTTATTGCAAAATGGTTTTGTCACAGTCTTTACTTCTAAAGGATGTTACACTAAAGAACACTTCAGTTCACCCCTATAGTTTCTATTAGTAAAAAACTATTATAAGTTAATTAAGTTAATGAGGGTAGGGTAAATGTTAAAAAAAACATGGGTTGGGGGGGGGGAGGGGGGGAAGAGAGGAAAGACAACACTCAATTAAAAATTTTAAACGTTTTTTCACTCCAAAATAATATCCTTGATAACGTTTTTTTGGTCATAAATAGATTTTTTTTAAATTTTCTACTATAATACTATGCCGTTTGGGCTAAAATTTATAATCCAACTTTATAAAATTTATAATTCAACTTAATATTTTGTCTGTCTAAAATTGTACTTACATGTCTAGTGTATATGGCTGTAAAAACAAATCCAAATCTGGCTACTTACATATAATAAACAACAAAATAATATTTTCAGTTGGGATTATAAGCTCTTTTTAAATACTTTTACACAGACTTACTATAATATTACATTTAACCGTTCACGACTGACTGTTTCTAGGGCAGAGTAGGGTAGGATAAGGAAAGGTAGGGTAGGGTGGGGTAGAAGTATAAAAAAATTGTTCGTTCTGAGATATTGCAATAAAATTGTAGCCTTATTCGTGACTATTCCCACAATTTTCATGGTTTGTCTACTGACAACCATTATCAAAAACGAAAATTTAATTTTTTTTGTGCTCTCTTATGTGTTGAACGGTGGTTTTTAAAAATTAAAAATTGTAAAAATTTGGTATATTTTTCAAGTTGGTAAGTAAATTTGTTATTTAAACCTCTACTAGGGCTGGAGCTCAAACTAAAGATAGCTTTTTGTAAAGCCGGAGCTAATTCTATGCTACAGCTATTTCTAAACCTGAGGCTAGCTTTAAAGCTAGGTCTACGGCTAAGCCAAAGACTAGGGCTAATGCTGAAGCTAGCGCTAAGGTTAAAACTGGGACTAAGCATAGGAATAAGTCTCGAGCTAAGACTTAAGCTCGGACTACGTATAAGCTTAAAACTAGGTTTAAATTTAAGGCTAAAGCTAAGCCGATACCTAAAGCTAGTGCTTAGCCTATGGCTAAGGCTAAAGCTAAGCATAAAGCTAAACGTAAGGCTAGGCCTAAATCCAGGTCTAAAAAAGAGACTAAGCCCATGCCCAAAGCTAGCTAAGGAGGCCATGCAAAAATTAAGGCTAAATCTAGTTAAACCTAGTTAAATCTTCATAATTTTGAACCTTTGATTAAAGTTTTTTTATTCCAGTGTACTGTAGTTTCATTACAATTTCGAAATTTCCCATCCCACGTGACCTTATACCTTATGTATGTTTACCACACACCACACATTCACATTACAATCGAATGTGAATTCGCTGTGAACGTGAATCGAGTAATTTTAGACCAAATTTGTTTAATTTCAGGGTTCAAATTAGGCGCTTACTGTTCGATTTACAGTAAAAAGAAGCGGTTGGGTGTTGTCACGTTGTTGGGCAGACCGAGCCCCAGGCAAATCGGTTAATTCGACGGCGATTTCACTCTGACACTGCTTACAACTGCCCGCGTTCTACTGTAAGTTTTTTTGAATTTTCGTGTAGATTTGGAGGGGTACTGTAGGTTTTGTGCAATGAAGGTGAAGTATATAGTCTTGATATAGTTTTTGCATCGAAATGAAGACTTAAGACTGTTCTAGGTCAACATAATGCATAAAAATCAAATTTTATTACCTAAAATACCAAAAAAACCAAGCTTTAATACCTGAAAACCACTATGTCTCCTCTTTTCAGTCCAGACCCCCACGAATCACTCAGTATCTCCAAGCACAAACCATGAAACTCCTATATTCACCAACCTTTTGGGCTTTCAAGTTCAGCACCGCCGCCGTTTTCAGCATTTTAATTTGGAATTGGAAGTTTAGGTTCGCAGAAGAAACAATCCCACCGGTTTCTACACAGCTACAGGCTCGAGTACCGGCCGAAGACATCTTCCTGTTCTCACCAAAGTTCTCATGTGGTGGAGGGCCTTTCAGTAACACAATGGCATCACTGGTCAGCTTCCCTTGTGATGTGGAGGAAAGTGAGTTGGTTACGGTATAAGATAGCACTACAGTACCTTTCTCTACCCTAGCTCACTCTACCCTACCCTGCCCTACCCTACCATGTCCTATCCTATACTATCCTGCCCTACCCTACTCTACCCTACCCTATCCTCTCAACTTTCATTACTTTACCCCTACCCAAATTTCTTTACTTACCCTTACCATGCCCAAAAATTAAAATTTCCAATTTTCAGTCCACGTATGTTGCCTAAAACACGACCAGTGTTACGACGACAAGATCGACCAGACCTCGTGTGACACTTCGTTCTGCAACTGCCTGGCTCAATTACCATGGCAAGGACAGTTTTGTGAAGTGGCAGCACATAAAGGACTGTGTCTGGCAACTCACTTGTTTGGCCACATGTTCTACGAAGGCGATGAGGCCAATAACACGATGGAAACGACTCATCTACTCACTTAGGATAAACTTTTACTGATTTGTGGAGCTAATCTTGATCTTTTTGAAATTGCAATTAATTTTTTTACTTTTTAGGTAGTATCTTTAGATTTTTATTGTTTTAGGTAACATCTTTGAATTTTTATTATTTTAGGTAATATCTTTGAACCCTTTATTGTTTAGATTATTGTTTAGAATTCTAACATTTTCAATTATTATTAATAATATCTTGATAGTATTTTCTTATTTCATTGTGGTGACATCAAATACGGTTAATTTTATTGATATAACTTTCATTAAACATTATATTGTTGTAGGTATCGTCTATATATTGTTGAAATTATAGTTTTTGTTCTATATTTTTAAATTGTAAATAAATATAATATAAATCAATATAATGTAAACCACTTTACCCAAAAATACCTTAAAATCAACCAGCAAAACTTTCTGAAAGCTGGCGAACCTAAAATCAAGCCAATCAATGTTGACACTTCGCAGCCACATGTGACACTTCGTTAAAACGCGCAAAATAATTTTTTAGATTTGGAAATAAATTAAAATTGTTGAAATAACCACTATTTTTTGTTTTATAAATACTACAAATGATATATTAATGTTTGTAAGACTATAAGTTGTTTGTTATATTACTATAGACATGTCAGTTTTGCTTGAAACCACATTGGGCGATATTGTCGTGGATTTGTTTTATGAAGAACGTGTGGAAGCGTGTCAGAACTTCTTGAAGCTTTGCAAGATGAAATACTATAATTTGAATCAGATATTCACTATTCAGGTAAGTTGATTTGGGTTTTTATTGAATTTTAGATAACAAGATGAAGTTTGAAAGCGAACGAACTGTTTTATAAAGTAAAAGCTGACCTTTAGTTTCTTATACTGTTGTTTTTACAAACATACTGAACCTTTTTCATATCAAAAGAAACCATTTTATGACCTGAGACAGCTAAAAATAATCCAAAACAATATATTTTCAGAAAGACTTTATTGCTCAAACTGGAGACCCAACGAATACGGGAAATGGAGGAGATTCAGTATATTCGTAAGTTCATTTTAATCTTAAGTTTGATTTTTAGGTATCTTTGCTTATAATCTTCTTCATGATCTAGCTTAAATAATTTGGAACAACATTTTGTTGTTTTTGTGGTGAACATAGTTATGGCCGTTTGTAACTTTTGGCAATAATTTAATGTCATTGTCTGTGACCTTTTGATATGGGATTTTGATTGTTTTGGTCAAAAAGTAGATAGAAATGATAGGAAATTAAAGTTAGCTTCAAGTTATAAAAAAATCTCGGCGTTTTCAGCCGAGAAATGTCATTTTTTACACACTTTGTGTCCCCAAAACTAAAATTTGATATCAAAATAGAAAGAGTGTTATTTCAGCTTTGTCCTAGACAAGAAATGCCGTTACTTTCCGGACAATAGTATGATCAAAATGGACCACAGACATAAAGGAACCGTCTCTTTTGTGAATTGTGGACAAGACATGTTTGGAAGTCAATTTTTGTTTACATTAGATGATAACCTGGACTATCTTGATGGAAAACATTTGGTATTTGGTCAGGTAGCTGAAGGGTTGGAGATTTTGGATATATTGAATGAGGAACATACCAATGATAATCATGAACCTTTAAAGGATATTAGGTAAGGATCAACTTTATATTGATGGTTTTTAGGTTGGAATGGAGAGTTTTGTTATTTGATTTCTTTCTAATATAATCTTTATGGTTTTAAGGACTTTTTTGAAGTGTTTGATTAAAAGATTATTTTAGGTAACATTTTTCAAAAAAATTAGGGAAAAAAGGGAAAGAACTGATGATATAGGTAACATCTGTAAATGAATAATGAGTTTAATATTTTGCAGAATAAGTCACACAATCATTCTGAACGACCCTTTTGCCGATCCACCAAACCTACCAATACCTTCAAGAAGTCCGTCGCCTTCCAACGAACTTATCGAACTCTCAGACAAGATTTGTCTAGATCAAGATGTAGAAGAAGATGAGAATTGTACAGAGGAGGAGCGCCAAAAGAAAAACGAAGAACGAGAACTTCGAGCCAATGCTCAGGTCCTGGAAATGATTGGAGACCTAAGGGACATTGATGAAAAACCTCCAGATAACGTGCTGTTTGTGTGCAAATTGAATCCAGTCACAACAGATTCGGATTTGGAAGTGATTTTCTCAAGATTTGGAGAGATTAAGTGCTGTGAAATTATCAGGGAAAGAAGGACTGGCAAGTCATTACAATATGCTTTTGTGGAGTTTGAAACTGTAAGTTAACATTTAAGGACAGGGTGAGGGAGGGTAAATGGATAGCATAAAAAAACAAGAATTTTCTTTGCAGAACAAAAAATAGCAAAAACTTTCTTTACAAAACATAAAATAGCAAGAACTTTCTTTACAGAGCGTAAATTGGCTAAAACTTTGTTTACAAAGCAAAAAAATGTCAAGAATTTTCTTTACAAAACAAAAAATGGCAAGAACTTTCTTTACGGAGCAAAAAATGGCAATAACTATCTTTACATAGCGTAAAATAGCAAGAACTTTCTTTACAAAGCAAAGAATGGCAATAACTTTTTTTACAAACGATAAAATTCATTATTTCTTATTTTAGGCAGAACAATGTGAAGCAGCATACCTAAAAATGGACAATGTCTTAATTGATGATCGCCGAATCCACGTCGACTTCAGTCAATCAGTAGCCAAAACTCACGTGTGGAAGAAGAAAGAAGACGAGGAGGAAGAGAAGAAGAAAAAAGATAAAGAAAATAGAGAAAAGGACAAGGATAGGAAAAGACGCCGCTCAAGATCTCCAGCAAGACGATCACGATCACCAACACGAAGATCAAGAACAAGATCACCGCCACGCCATAGACGAAGGCCATCCCCAAGAACGCGATCTCCACCTCGAGGCACACGAGCAAGGTCACCAGTTCAAAACTCAAGAACAAGGTCACCAACAAGACGATCACGAACACGATCTCCACCACGGCACGGTAGAGGTCTACAATCGAGAACGGCACGATCTCCGCCAAGACAAAGGAGACGAAGAAGGTCGTCGTCCAGCGAGCGGTCGAGGTTTTCGAGGGACAACTACCATAATCGGCACAACAGGAGATGATCTTAGTTTATGTTATAATGAGGAATACGTTATGTTATTACAGTAAATTTTTGAAGTTTGTGTTTTGGAATAGTCCTGGCGTTTTTGAGAGTGAAAAGCAATGCAAATTGGCGACAAGACTTTTCAAAGCTTTTGATGTTATTGTGAATGGTAAATTATGATATTTTAGCAAAAAATTTTGTTATATTATGCTACAGTAAAGAAAGTTTGTTAACTTATGTTACATTAAAGGTTTCATAAATTTTTGGAGTTTTTTTTGATATTAATGTCGAACGATGACAATAAATACTGACTTTTAAAGGTTTTTTTGGGTAGATTATAAAGGCTTTTTGGCCTAGGCTACTAGGCATAGGCTTCTAGGCTTACGCTTCTAGGCTTACGCTTCTCGGCTTACGCTTCTAAGCTAGGCTTAGGATTCTAGTAATGATTAAATCAATTTCAAGGGTTTTGCCCATAAAATTAGTTTATTTTCAAGTTTTGAACAAATTCCTACTCTCCCACTTCTTATAACTTTATTTTACAGACATTTTACGTTTAAATATTGTAGTAGGCTAAGAAGAAGTTGTTTGTTTCGTGCGGTAAAAGCGAACGATTATTACTTTTTGTAGCTGTTTATTACATTTGAACACTTTTTATTGTATTTTTGAAAAGAGTTTTTGTATCTTCAATTATATTTTCTACAATAACATTAATTCATTCTGATACAAAATAACGTTTTAGATGTTCTGCTACAAAAAACGATACTGTTGCTGTATCTTTGATAAAATCGTACTTGAACTCTTATATCTTCGTGTAATTGCAGGTTTATTGTTTTTTGTTGTACAATAATACTTTAAAGCAGTTAAGTGTTAGTACAATAGCTGTTCTTATAAGTCTTCAAAATGTTTTTTTGTAAAAATTGAAAAACCAGTTGAAATATATATTATAATAAGGGCCGGGCGCTGGGGGGGGGGGAGTGAAAGGTGAAAGTGGTCTCCACTGTGGATGATTCGGCTTCTGCCCCCGGACCAAAAGTTCCCGCCCGCCCCTGATTATAATATAATTTAGTTTAAGAGTAGTTCCACTAGCTATACAATAGTCATAATTTAGCTTTTTCCTAGCTTCATCCTAGTCTTACATTAGCCATAATCTAGGTTTACACTAGCCTTACTTATTTTTACTCTATATCTTTACCCTTTCCTTATCTAACTTTACTCTAGTCTTCCCGAGCTTCGCCCTAGCCTTTCACTATTTTTATCGTAGCCTTAAATTAGCCAGATTTCCGCAGCACTACCTTAGTCTAAGCACTACCTTAGCTTTACTCAAACCATACAGAAACCTTAATTTCGTTTTATACTAGCCTCATATAGCCTTACATTAGCCATAATCCAGCTTTACCCTGGCCTTATTTTCATTGAAAGTCTGAACAACCGAAAAAATTTTTTAAACGATTTTATTAAACTAATAACAGTCAATAGTGATAGTAACATGAATAATATAAAAACAAATAGGTTTGAAACAAAATTGTCAATTAATAATAAAACAACACGATAAAGAAATTAAATATCAAAGAAAGTTGATAAAGATAGAGTAATATGTCTATTGTAAACTCATATTTCTAATAATTTTGATACAAAACTAAAGGAAACTGTAAGGAATGAGGTTGTAACAGAAAGGTGTGAGATCAATTTAGGATATCTAATGGGAGAAAATAAGGAGAAGTAGTGCAGCATTGTCTCTTTACATTGTTAGATAAGTATGTAATAACACAGATTCTTGTTACAATAGTAAAATTTTTTAAAATTAAAAGTGCAATTTAAGAATATGGGAATAAGAGACAAAGTATATCATTAATATACTTTGTTCATTAGTGGTAATATAAACAATTTTTAAAAAATTTTCAAATACAAGAAATTGAAAAGAGCAATAGTAACAAAAGGCCTTCTACTAATATTAGTCCTATATTTAGTACCTAGGGCAGAGTAATCAAAAAAATGAGGGATGGGGTGAAAGGGGTACATCTAAAAAACTTTACAGGTAAGGGGGAGGGGATAAATTTGTACGTGGAAAGTTTAAAAAAACGTAAAATGGATGCAAAAGTCAGGTCAAAAATTTTTTTTGTTTTTATCAAAAAAAGCAAGGTTGGATGATACAAGAGCACCACTAATTATCATGTTTTTCACGTAATTCTGCGTCTTCTCTCAAAGCAAATTTTTGGGGTAAGGGGGCGCAGAATTATGTGAACAATCTAATAGTAAAGTATGGTCTGTATAGAGCTGGAATAGGATGGTAAGGAATAGGTAATGTTTTATATCCTTGCTCTACCCTTTTTGTGACTAATGCGTGTAGAAGAAATTGCTAGATAGTAAACATAGTACCAAATAATATAAACTTTAAAAATACATAAATATTACCATACTATTTGATAGTAAAACGGAGACCGGTTTGTATGTATCAAAGACGAAGTAACAATGAGATTTTAGTCGTTTTTCTTTCAAATTTGGCATTTTTTAATAGGGGTGAGAAACGGGTCGAGCTAAGCCAACTTTTTAGGCCGGCTCAGCCTCATGTCTCAACTTTTAAACCCGGCACGCTCAAAAAGTTTCAACGTGTGGCCGGACGAAAACTTCAAGGCCATGTTCACTTTTACAATTTGCCAAACTTGAACACATCATACTCTGTAAATTATACAATAGTTTTGCTGTACCATGCTGATATTGAAATCAGTAAAAGTTGTGGTTTCGTTACATACAGTAACACTGCTACAAATTGTCATTACGCAACGTTACGTAACTTTCCGTAACTATTTTTAATCTCTCCGTCTCCGCTTGTGATGTGAATGTTTGTGCACGGAACGGCGGTGCTTCTTTTTGTCTTTCGGATTCGATTCGTTTCGTAAATCATTGTTGATTTCGTCTTCGTCGTCGGTGACTGTGTTATCTTGAGCCGATTCCTTTGATACACAAACTTGTCGAAACACTCGCATTCTCATGTCGGTACGGTCGAAGACGCATTCGTGGTCGTCTGAGCATTTGCACCTGAAATTAGTCATTATTAGATACGTAATGTTACTTTTAATTGTACAGAGTGACTGTTAATCCTTTACTTATATTATTAAAGCAACAGTACTACTTATAGTATTGTAATTGTAGTTTTGGAGTTACTGGGGTACTTTTAGGGGTACAGTAATACTTATAGTGGTTTTAGAAGAATAGTATGATTTTTGGGGCGACAGTAGCACTTTTAGAAATAAGAAGATATACTCAAAGTTACAGTGGTACGTTAGAGTATTAGTAGTATAGTTAGCTACCAAAGTTCTTCTAAACTATAAAATACTTTCAGTGCTAAAGGGTTCTCATAGCACTAAAGTATTCTTAGAGCTACAGCGGTACTTTTGGGGCTTTAAAAGCACTATAAAGGCTACAGTGGGAGTTCTAGGGCAATTTTAGTTTTCTTGGGGCTCCAAGAGGTACTTTTAGAGCTATAAAAGTATTTGAGCTACACTGATAATTATAGTACTAAAATTGTAACTTTAAGAATACAGCGCTGCTTTTGTGTAGTATTGTCATTGAGGCTACAGAAGCACTTTTAGATACTTTTAATACGGTATTAGTATTGTTGGGGCTACAGTGGTACGTTTGGAACTTTCGATGCACTTTTTAAAATTTGTTTTAAAGTTTAATTTGTCATCAAAACTTTTAATTTATAATATTTTTAAAATCTTAATTTCTGATGAGTTTTCAAACTTTTCAAAGCTTAATCAGTCACTTTCAATTCACGTGTGGTCTTTTTGGGTTGCTCAAAGTCAAACCGCAGCTTATCAAGCGATAAGGTTTGTGGTATTTGCCCTGGGGTTAAAACACACTATATTATAGTTTAGCGAGATCAGTCTCTTCGCTCTATTTTGGACTCTCCTTGATCTTTTTGGTCATTAAGGTCTGTAGGCTAGTATGAGGTCAATTTTTGGAAGTTCATCTACTGTAATCTCGATTTTCTTGGATTTATTGAGACTTAGGTTCTATTGAAAGGCTCTGTCTTACTCTAATCTACCCTACCTTACCCGACCCTACTCTACTCTTCTCTATTCTACCCTATTACAATATAAACCCTTATGACCCTACTCAACCTAACTTCAAAATCAATAAATGATAAGAAAATTTCTTGCAACCTAAAGTGCTTACTGTAATATAGTACAAAGTAAAGATAAACCAAGGTTTATTTGCATCAAAATTACTACATTTCTCATTGATATCAATATCATAATATTGACAATGATGAACTTCGTACTTCCGTCACGTGCTCCTGGGCGCGGTACGGAAGTGATAAGTCAGAGAAAGGCAGCAGCTGATTGTTTGATATTAATTACTTATGTTAAACATCCATTTTTGGGCAATTTCCATTGATAAATGATAAAAAATTGTGATAAAAGGGATTACATTATCTTTGGGAAGTTGGGTTTTTGCTTCTTTTAAACTTTGGCGCTGCACAAGCTTGAGCTTGAGCATACGCATGAGCATGAGCATGAGCATAAGCACGAACATGAGCATGAGCAAGAATGAGCATGAACATGAGCATGAGCATGAGCATGAGCATGAGCATGAGCATGAGAATGAGCATGAGCATGAGCATGAGCATGAGCATGAGCATGAGTAGAGCATGAGCATGAACCTTAGCCCAGAGCTCTCGCCCAGAACCCCGAGCCCTATTCCCAAAGCTCTAGCCCAGGCCCTAGTCCTGTGCCTTAGCTGCAGCCCCAGACCTTGCCCTGATACCAAGCTTTGCCGTCTGTATATGCTTACTCGAGCCCTAGCCTCATTTCTAGCTTGTCTTTACACTATTTCTTTCTTCAACTCTATTCTTAGCCCAGTCCCCTACAAATACCTCCCCCCCCGCCTACTAAATACATACTACAATATACCCCAAAAAACGTGAATTCAATGACAACTCGGAATCGGCTACGATAAGAGATGATTAATGTAATTTTATTGGTCAAAGAACCAACATCGCTTTCTTTGAATCCAATTTAACTAGCAGGCTACTTTTAAAAAAGGCTTTATTTGCACAGTGCAAGGTTTGCAACTCTATTAAATGTTTCTTATCAGCCCTGTTTAGTGATCATTAAAAAGAACTTTTTTTTAATTGTAGTCTTGACTACATGATGGTATTTGAATAAATAATCTCAAAAACTGTTTTAAATATCATATTTTACCATTTTAGCCTAGTATAATATAACAAAGATTTAAAAATCAAATTTTTTTAAATTTTCAATTTAAAAATTTCAATTTTCATCACAAAATGCTATTTTTTAACCATCTCTAAATGAAAAACCTACTGTATTGCCAAAAATAGCTTATCATGCGGCGATTGATAACCAATTTGTCAATTTATCTTTTTGCCGTGACCAAATTCATGATTAATTCGTTCACACAATTCACCGTATTCTGAACGTTCGCCTTTTCTGATAAATGAGAGCGCAACAATTCAAATCAAAAAAATGTTTAAATAAAAAATGCAACTCGGTAAGCTAAAACTATTTAACTCATAAGTTGCCCAAATATGAATGAACTTTTTAGAGCGGGCAAATTTCATTGGTCTTTTTCTTTGGTGATATCTGTACCTAAACCTGAGTTTTAGCAGTAGCCTGCTTTTGAGTCTGAGCTTGAGCTTGAGCTTGAGCCTGAGCCTAAGCCCAAACCTGAGCCTAAGCCTGAGCCTGAGCCTGAGCCTGAGCCTGAGCCTGAACCTTAGCCTGAGTTTGAGCCTGAGCATGAGTCTGAGCTTGAGTTTGAGCTTGAGCCAAATCCTGAGCCTAAGTTTGAGACAGTGTCTATGTCTGAACCTTAACCCTAGTCTTAGCTTTCTAAAATACCAATCTTTTTGTTGATTTTTTCGCAAAAAAGGACATTTTTTAAATAATTTCTTAATTAGTAAGCGTTTTATTAGATAATTTTTAAACCGTTCGTCTAAAATTCTATTTAATATCAACTTACCAAGACTTGACCCACTTGAAAGGCGTCGTTCCAAAGTTGTGGCCGAATGAGTAAAACCCGCACGGTTCACGGCCAGCTATACAAATCGGCGCATTTTTGTCGAATGTGGGCTCTGGGAAGGCGTCTCTCTGGAAAAATTTTAATATTAGAAAAAGCATGTTCTAAATTTCACAACACTCAAAATTTTTGTTAACCCCCCCCCCCCCCCCTGTTCCTTATTTTCTACCCCTGCTCCCAAAAAAAATTTTTTTTGCCAAAAGTTTCAAAAATCCCGTTTAAAAGTACAAAAAGCAACAGCTACAGTATTAGAATGCATAATGCCATTCTGATTATGCTCGTTGACGTCGTTCAGCATTAAAAATCTGCGTGCTATTGTCAGTTTTGACACATTTTCCGTGTTCAAGCGAAACGTGAAATTTCCGCCGAATTTCGATATAAAATGTAAAATTTAAATTAGCCAAAACCCGGCCGAGGTTTGAATTTGATGCTTGGAGTGTAAAGAACGAAATAAAGGTAGATGATCGGAAGTGGCATGGGCAAAAAATGAAAAATCTTTTTGGCGGTTTTAAAATTAAAAAAATGTTTTTTTTGGACCCAACAGGGAGGGAGCAAAGCAGGTTTTCCAAAAGTAAATGGATGGGAGGGGGGAACCCAAATTAAACCAATTGGAACTTTTTCAAAAAAAGTTTTGTGATAGAGTAGGTAGAGCTTGTAAAAGGTTTAAGCCTGGGCCAATTTCCCGACTTGTCCTGGCCTTCAAATTTGCTTCAGCCTGAGCTGACCCAAGCCAATCCAAGTATAACCTTTATTAAAAAAATTTTTGGGTAAACGGAGGGGGTTAAAAGATTGTAATTTTTTTGGGTAGGCGGCTTGTAATAAAAAAATTAATAAAAGTGCATTTAAGACCTTAAATGTTTAAATCAAATTTAATCCCGTAATTCGAAAGAATTACAAAACTTTCCACAGATAATCTGACTTAGAACCAAAAAAGCACAAACCACCCGGTTTTAGCGTCTGGGTGGATGCTAAATTTATCATTTTAATCCTAAATTTATTTATAGTTTGGCATTCTAATAGCTTTATGTATTTATATTTATAGTCTTGATTTGAAACATAATAAATAGTTTTAAAAAAATTTGAAACTATTTTTGAATTGAGAATAATATAAAAATATCTTTTTAAGTTAGGAATTCGAAATTAAAAATTATAAAACGCAAAAACTTTCTTTCCAAGCGTTGAAATGACAAAAAAATACTGAAAACTGCAATAATATGGTTTAACGTATAACTTGTCACCCGCAGGTTGCATAAAGCAAAATGTGCTCAGTTTTAGCCGTTTTAGCAAGAACTTTCTTTACAAGACATAAAATGGCAAGAACTTTCTTTACAAAACGTAAAATGGCAAGAACTTTCTTTACAACTTATAAAACGGCAAGAACTTTCTTTACAAGACATAAAATGGCAAGAACTTTCTTTACAAAACGTAAAATGGCAAGAACTTTCTTTACAACTTATAAAACGGCAAGAACTTTCTTTACAAACCTAATTTTCCAAAACAACCGCAAAAACTTTCATTCCACTTAAAATAACTTACCGGAAATTTCCTACCGTTGATTTTTTTCATATTCATAACAGCCTCGACATAACCCATAAGGACACAATAACATACGCTTATCGATATGGCTGCATTGTATAGGTTCATGATGACAAAAAGAAGGCACTAGTGTTTAAAGCACCGTCAACCCTCGCCGTCTTTAATGTCAAGTTGTTTGTGTTCGTCTGAAATTGTAATTACGGTTAAGAACAGTATTGACAAGTTACAATTAAAACTACATTTAGTTTGTAAACCAAATGTTAATTGTTTTAATGAAATCTTTGCAAAAATAGCAAATGGCACGGTTTTAAAGCTCGAAATGACAGAAATCAAAGGCTAGTGGGGGTAGAGAAGAAAAGAAGAGAAGCAGGGCAAAACACCTTATGGTATGATAGCAAAAGGTAGGACAGGGCAAAGCAGAGTAGAATAGGCTAGCGTAGTGTAGGATAAGATAGTGTAGAATGAGGTAGGGTATGTCAAAGCATGTAAAAGCAGAGCAAGCCAAGGCAAGGCAAGGTAAAGCAAGGCAAGGCAAGGCAAGGCAAGGCAAGGCAAGGCAAGGCAAGGCAAGGCAAGGCAAGGCAAGGCAAGGCAAGGCAAGGCAAGGCAAGGCAAGGCAAGGCAAGGCAAGGCAAGGCAAGGCAAGGCAAGGCAAGGCAAGGCAATGGCGCTATGGCTACACATTTATACCACCTCCTTCGACTAAAGAACTTGTTAAAAAATAATCAAGACGGCGGATATAAACTATATTTTTGGCTCCAATTTTTGAGTGCCATAAAAATAGACAAAAACTCTAGGTTGTATCGATATTGTAATACTATGAAGTGACGATTACACTCAAAGTAACTGTTTTGATAACTATGCTTTCAAAATTGTAGGAGTATTGCGAAAAGTTGGTTGTAATAGTACAAACAAAAGTTTAGAGAGTTGCATAAAAAATAAATGTGTCATATGTAACCGTAGTGGTACGTATATTTTGTCATAAATATTTTTTTTCTTGGCTTTAAAATACAATTTGAACAAGATTTTAATTTTTTTTTGTTACAAAAGTGCAGACATTTTTTAAAAATTTAAGAATGGGTTTAAATAATTGAACTGTAACGCGATACTGTAGTAAATAGTTAGTTGAAGCAGGGTAAATGCGGATAAGGCAAAGAGATATGGATAGAAAAAGTTTGGCGTACCTGAGGCAAAACACTAAATGGGCAGGGTAGGGTAGACAAGAATCAGAAAAGGTAGGGTAAAGTCGGGTAAAGCAGAGCACGGCCGAACAGAGCAAGACAAAGCAGGGCAGAGCAGGGCAGGGCAGGGCAGGACAGGACAGGACAGGACAGGGCAGGGCAGGGCAGGGCAGGGCAGGGCAGGGCAGGGCAGGGCAGGGCAGGGCAGGGCAGGGCAGGGCAGGGCAGGGCAGGGCAGGGCACGGCAGGGCAGGGCAGGGCACAATACTTACTATAATAAACTTATACTTACTACATATACCCTACTACATGCACAACAAAATTACATTTCACCTCCAGTAACAACCTATTATGCTACAACATAATTAGTAGCATGTTCCTACCACAATATTAAAATGTCAAAAAAGATACCATAATGAGGTGTTATTATATTCCGTATAAACCCAAAAATTAATATTTACTTTGTACACAGCCCATTGTTCTGTTGTCTCCTAGAAGCTTCTTGACATTTGAAAAGTACAAAAAATGTGCAAAAATTGTAAAATTGTGGTAAAACTACTTATTACATTGAAAAAATATTGTAATACGTAAACAATGTAAAAATAGAAAAAAGTAGAAAGAAGCCTACGTTTGTAAAGTTAAGCCTACTAAGACTCAGCCTACTAAGCCTAAGCCTAGTAAGCCTAAGCTTGCTAAGCCACAGTTTACTAAACCTAAGTCTACTAAGTCTAAGCCTACTAAGCCTCAGCCTACTAAGTCTAAATATACTGAGCCTAAGCCTGCTAAGCCTAAGCCTGATAAGTCTAAGCCTACTAAGCTTAAGCCTATCAACCCTAGCCTAACCAAATACAAGTTCGCTCATATTGATCTGCTAAGCCTAAACCTACTAAGCACGTGCTTAGCAAGCGTAATTCTAATAAGCATAAGCCTACTAGGTCTAAGCTTACGAATTCTATGTTTTGCAAAAGTTAAACCTGCTAATTACTTTACTTAGCAAAACTTTAAACATAAACTGACTAAACCAACGTTTAATTAGCCTAAGGTCATAAAACCTAAGCTTATTAAGCTGAAGTATACTAAACCTACTAATCTTAACATAATTAACCTTCACTTATTGTAATAGTCCTAGATTTAAGCCTTATATTTTAATATTAAGCTTACAAGTTAATGAGCATAATGAACTAAAGCCTACTAAGCCTATGTTATAAGTTATCTTACTTTTTTCCTTTGCAACCATTTTTTTTAATTAAAAGTTAGAAACAATAAAATTTGTCTTTTTTGCATATCTTTAATTTACCAGAACGCCTCAGCTTTTGGTCATTACGTGTATAAGATACCATACAACGTCTTACACCTGTTATGTAGGTGTACACCTACATACAGTTATGTAAAAACAATAAAAAACATAAATAATGACAAGTATTAAGTTGTTCACTTAATTCTGCGCCCCTTCTCAAACTAACTTGTGAAGTACGGGAGCGCAGAATTATGTGAACAACCTAATACTTATACATATAACCTATTTTTAAGACCCCTCTTCTATATATACCTACCCAAACTTGCAAAACCAGTAAAAGTGCTACTATATCTTCTCAATTACTGCAGTAAAAACATTTAAAAATAGCCAAAAGTAATAGAACGCCTTTTTATAAACGTAGAAGATAATGTCAAAACCAAAACAAGATGTATTAGTGGTACGAACGAGCGGAGATTTCAACAATCTCAAGTGTCATATTATAGTGACATAAAAAGTGCGTCACAAAACTACAGTAAAAATTGGAAATTTCAACAGGTTTCAAATGTGAACAACGTTAGAGTACATTGGAAATGGAAGTAGCACTTCAGTACGTAAAAAGTAAAAATATATTTTTGTCGTTTTATGTACAAAGTAGTAGCATAGTAGAAACAAAAAGCAAGTTTTTACGACCAAAAATAGGGTAAAAATAAACAGTAAAAGTTAAGAATAAAAATTAATATTCAAAAAGAAAAGATCCCCATGTAAAAAACTCGTAAAATTAAAATAATAAGTAACAAGGTTTAAGGTTTAAGTAAGCCTAAGCCAACTAAACCTAGCTACAAAAGTAAAAGCTTAAGCCCACTAAGCCTAAGCATACTAACTTACAGACTAAAGCCTTAGGTTTTTAAGCCTAAACTTACCAAATTTAAGATTACTAACCCTAAGACTTCTAAACGTAAACTTACTATGCCGTCCCCTACTAAACCTAATCCTACTAACCCTAAGATGGCTAAATCTATGACTAAGCCTACCAAAGCTTTATAACTCAAGTTTACTAAGTCTAAACCAAAGCTTTCTAACAGGCTTGGACACAGGGCAGGGCATTGGCAAATTTCCATGCCATGCCCTGTGCCCTGCAATGCCCTGCCCTGTACAGGGCATTCAACTTTCATGCCCTGCCCTACCATGCCCTTGCCCTGCAGGGCATTAGGGCATTTACAGGGCATTTGGGTAAATTTTGGCGGACGCCTCCGCCGAGCGGTCGATAATCGGCGAACGCCATAACTTGGTTAGTTTAGCAGCTAGAAACATGTAGTTAAGTGCAGAAGTTGTTATCTGTTATAATTTACACATTAAGCCAGTAATTTTATGTATGTTTTTAAAAACAATATTGTTATCGACCGGTCGATAATTTACAAATGTTTAATTTGTACAAAAAACAAGGTTTTTTGCTTAGAATTGTATTTAATGCAATTTCTATACAATTTAGAACACCAGAGCGATAAGAATATGTATAAAATTTGCAATTAAAATATACTAAAAATTATCAACCGGTCGATATCAATACTACATTTAAGGTCTTAAAATTATGTTCTTATTTGTAGCCTATGACGTATAATAATTTCTGAAAAGAACTATATGTTTCTAGCTACTAAACTAATCAAGTTATGGCGCCCGCCGATTATCGACCGCTCGGCGGAGGCGTCCGCCAAAACTTACCATGACACAAACATGGCATTTGCAGGATAATACAGGGCGTATGCCATGCCCTGCCCTGTCCCAAGCTATACCATGCCCTACCATGCCTTGTAAAAAATTTTTAAAACTTGCCCTATACCATGCCCTACCATACCCTGTAACAGGGCATGGTACAGGGCACCCTGCCCTGCGTCCAAGCCTGCTTTCTAATCTTTAACCTACGAATCATGCGAAAAGTTTTGAAAATGTCAAAATTTTTAACTTTTAAAACCAAAAAGCCAAAAAAAGATCTATAATCATGCCTTTTTTCATAATATTATATCAGGTTTAGTTCCAATTTTAAACTCATAAATAATTAACATCAAAATGAACACAGTTATAGTAAAAGTTTGAATAAATTAAAATCACAGAATCCGCGGGTCGTGCGTCATTGTTGAAAAGAACACTATTAATAAGATTAAGATATCTCGAAAATGTCAACACAGAAAGCAACACAACCCTCGGCTTGACTCCGCCTTTAATTCGTGTTTAACGCCGCCTCCACAAATGAAAACGGTCGTTTCGAGTGGAGATGAGTCAGTTACTATTAATCAGTTTTACATACAGTTTAAGATTGTTGTTAAATTGAAGTAAAGATAAAAAAGTTAAATTATTTTTAGGTTACAAAATTGAGAAAAAATATCGATATGTTTGAAGCGTAAGCTTAAGGTTATGTCGACTAAGCCTGAGCGGGCTGCGCCAAAGTCTAGGCCTAGTATTAATAATCATGTAAAGTCTAAGTTTGCTAAACCTGAGCCAACTAAATTTAAGCTTTTTAATATGAAGTAAGCCATCCCTAGACCTACTGTATCTAAAAATAGGTAATTTAAGCCTACTAAGACTCTACTTAGTAAGTCTAACCCTGTAAAGCATATGCCTACAAAATTAACGACTAGTAATCT